AACTAAATGAAGCAAGGAACTACAGTTTTTAAAGGTTGAATATTAGTACATTAGACTGTAGAGACTTTTGTGTAAAGTGGTTTATATAGAGAAAGTTTTAGTGATCGTGGTTATTGGTGAATTAGAAAATTCGGTAAAATGGAGATGGGTTGCATTTAATATTGCTTATTCGCCGAAATATATGTACTTTATGATTTTATTCTTACTAATTGGGGAAACGTTATAGATTGGTCGTTGTATCCATTCATGATGAAGGATACATGACTACATGTGTGTATAATTGTGTGGTAGCTGTGGAAATTAGTTGAATGAAAAGGATGCAAGAAACGAAAAATTTGATGCTACTGAAGTTATTGAATTTGAATTAAAATGATTTGTAATTATGTGTCGGATCGCAATTCAGTTTGTGTCATTGCGTGTAATTTTTCTGTTTTGGTCGGAATGATTTTGTAGTGTCACTTGAGTAACCTGTTTATCTTGTGAGGGCTAATTGAAGCAGTGCGTCTTGTAGGTCTTTCCTGATCGCTTGTAAAATTTTATTAAGGAGGATTAAACTTTTTCATATAATTAAATTGATTTTTTTCTTTTTTCTTTTTATGAAAAAGAAAATTTCGCACTTATACATCGACCGATGTTCTTCTTTGTTTTGCTCCGATGAGAATCCCAATCAATCACACCATTGCATTCGGATAAAAATGTAAAGCCCGAAGAAGGGTCAAAGGGCACCGCACCGCGCACGCTATCTTCTGAAAAAAAAAAACGAGTTCGTATCCAGTGTATCCGGGTACCGTATACTCCCATCAAACACACGCGTTACACGCGCTCAACATTTTTATGGTTGGTCTTTCTACTTCTTTATTAAACTACTTATCCTATGATGTTATCCTGCTTGTCCAATATTTCTTTGTTGATTATCCAATGCTGTATTGATTATCCAGGACTTTTGTACTGGTTATCCAACCAATGTGCAGCAATATCCAACCGTTTGTAATGGTTATCCAGGATCTTTGTACTAGTTATCCAACTTGTTACACCTGATTATCCAAATGTTTTATAGTGATTATCCAGTTAAAAAAATGCAAGTACAGTCTTTAACCTGATTATCCATGAGTTTACTTGTTATCCAAAACCTCAATACTGTTTATCCATATATAACCAATGCCTATCTACCATGTGGACATAATAAAACAAGGATTCAGAGAGGGCTTCCAAAAAGAAATAACAAAAGAAAATATCCATAAGAAAATGGCTATCCAAACGGCATATTCATTGGGGGGCTTCGCCCTACATGATAAACTAAACGACTCCCGCGGCTACCGGAATCGCAGGTCACCAACCTGCCCCGGCTGCGCCGCCCCGCCAAACACGCCAATGTAGCTAAGGTAATCCATTTTTTCGTGTGTGTGTAAGGAGAGTGTATTATTGCATTAACAGGGGACCCCCGTGATAAACTAAACGATCTGGCTGCGCCGATGCCCGTGGCTGCGCCGCCTTTCGCGGTTGCGCCACCCCCATGCCGAACATGGCAAATTTCATAAATAGTATTTAATTGAATGAGGGGAAGTTTACCAAATGATGGAGAACAAAAAATGAATGAGGGACAGCTGGATAACCAATGTAAAAAATACGGACAAAGATATCCAAGAGAAATATAAAAGAAAAAAAATGAAATTTGGCAACTGGTTATCCAGCTGTGTGTAACTGGTTATCTATAATGTGCACACTAGTTATCCAATATGTCCATACTGGTTATCCAACAGGTTAATAATGGTTATCCAACTGTGTGTAACTAGTTATCCATAGTGCCAACACTGGTTATCTACATGGTGAACACTGATTGTCCATAGTGTGTAGCTGGTTATCCATAGTGTGCACACTGGTTATCCAATATCCAATTTGAATGAATTCGTTAATTTATATATGCCGCGTTTAAAAAAAAAAGAAAAAAAGGATGAATTATCTAGCAAACTCACGCTATTCTAAGAGAGTAAAGTACACGCGTAGGGGGGTACACGGTGCCCCCGGGTATACCAGATAATTTACCAAAAAAACTTAACCAGTTTGAATATAAATCAGTCGAGATGGTAGTTTTTGAAACTTGGTATTAATACACTTGGCCCCTTAAAATTTTATGAATTTATATCAATTAATAACTTGTTAATTTAAGAATTTTCGATAAAATCATATGATAAGTGCTAAATGATTTAATATCAAGAAAGGAATTGCTAAAGGCAACCATTCACAATTTTTTTTTTTTAGTATGACAAAACGGCATCAGAATTTCTGAATGCAATGAGAAAGATCAAAGATAATATTTCTATTTAAATAATTTTTTTAAAAAAAGCAATGATCAATAGCTCCATATTTTACTACAAATTTTAAGTTTTTTAAGGTAATTATTAATTTATGAAATTATAGTGAATTATATATCCTTAAAAGAATATTATCTTATAGATTAATTAAATTTGTTCATTTGTTGTACTAACCGTGAGTTAAGACAAAAAAAGAAAAAAAAATATTCCATTCGTTTCAAAAAATAGACAAAATTGTGTTTTGAGATTTAATTATACTGTTTTTATACAAATCTCAAAACTCAGAGGGAATTATTTTTTTAAGACAAAGGGAATTATTAAATGGAGTTTTTTATGGTCTAGCACTATATTGCTATCCTTTTGACGTAATAGTCCTAGTTTCTTGCTTAGTTCTTTTCTCTTAAAAAAGGTTTTTTTATTGGCTTTAATTATTTACACACACACACACACACACACATATATATATATATATATATATATATATATATATGGATAAATCACTTCATCGGTCCATCAAAAGGTTTATTTTAGATTTGCTTAAGTCTATCCCGTAATAGATGAGATATTATTGCTTTGTGCGCTTAACTTCTTAGTTCTAACTTTGGGAGCTGTTTGTTTAGCTGGAATGCGTTTTAAAAAATGGATTCAAACCTTTGCAGCGGTTTAACTGTGAGATATCAAAACGAATTAATATTATTGGATTCATGAATGTATGAATATTCAAATCCAATCCGCCAATATTCAAATCCGTTTCTTGAATTCGAAACAAATGCAAGCTTAGTTTTCTATATCGAGATTATTTTATTCACTAAAGGACAAGGTCATTAACTCATTACTATCAAGTTTCCATTTCTTTCCAATGGACGTGCGAGCTCAATAATAAGAATTAATTGACCACACATTTTTGAAATACATTTATTACTGACGTACACTAGTCACCGAAGAGATTCACAGTGATTTAGTTATTTTGCTTGTTATCTTTTACATAAAACTAAACTTTACTTAACATTGTAAGAAGGCTTTCACAGGTTTACAGGAATGCAAGCAGTACAATAAGAATTGATTACGGCTTTTAATCTACGCCATCAACAAGTAAAGGTGACTTCGGACACAAATAAATTTGTGTATCCATATCATAAACCGGAATAAAATTCTTATTGTGACTATATACTCTCTCCGTCTTGAAATGATTATTTATTTCGCATTTTATTTTTAGTGTAATTTTACTTTAAAAAATTTTAAACTGAACAATCATTTTGTCTTTTGAGACAATAAAAAACTAAAAATATACATAATAACAAAAATAATAAGAGACTCGAAGGGACCGGCTTGAATACAAAATATAATAAATAATTCCGGTTGATTTTTAAGAAAGATAGTAGTATATTCCAAAACCAAGAATCTAAAATGAGATTATATATAAGGTCATGATGATATCATGTTATCGAGACAAGTTTAAAATCTACAATGTCGATACTTTATATATTCATCTGAAAATAATTATCTCGTATCAATGGCTACCTATCACCGAAAATCTCCATATACATTCGACGGGTAATTTCCACGATTAACCCCAAGGAAACGTGTGCCTAAAGGCTGAAGTTACCCTGAAGTTACATTTCTCCAACCAGTGGTCCTTTGGCATGCAATTTTAGAGGGAAGAAGATACCCCAAGTGATAAGTAATCAGAGATCCGCTTTTAATTGATCAGTCTTTATCTTACACATGTTATTGATTTTATGAATGGAAAATATATAAGATTTCGCAGCCATGGAGCCACGAAATGTTTGGTTAAAACTGTTCATGAACGCGTATAAGTATTAATCTCCACAGTCCACACTGATTACCTTTTCATCAACCAATGAAGAGAGTCGCTTTCAATGTTACTCACGTTCTTTGCTTTGATCATTTGCTCGTGTCAAAACTCGGGTAATTAATTTTGTTGAAAAGGTTTTCGATGATAATAAGGCAGCCGACCGCCGGAAAATGACAACTCCATTAATTTGCTTATAATTTATTCAAGGCTTCGGAAATACTATTAACGTTGAAAAGATTTACTAGCTTTTCGTGTTCGACATTGTTAGAATTCAGTTTCGGGTGGGGAACGTTACCGACAATGCAGTGGCTGGTCAATCAGCTCAAGTGCTCAATTAACGAAGAAGTATCATTTTGTTCGAAAAGAGACAATATTCTCTTCCTTTCCATTGTCCATTTGGTAGATATTTTCTTTTCCCTCAACATACTCAAGTATAGTAGGCTAGTCTCAAAGAAAATCACTTCATAATGAGTGTAATGGTTTAAGGATTCTAGCGGATTTTAAGCACAGCTACATGTATATTTAGGTTTATGATGTAGGACGCCAATAATAAATATTTCTCCCGTCCCAAAATTATTGTCCAGATTGATATTTCACTTTTGATACAATTTGAACTGAAAATAAAAATTCAAACTGAATAATAATTATGGGACGGAGGGATTACTATATATTTCCTTTGTTCCCAAAATTATTGTCCAGTTTGAGATTTTTCTTTTAGTATAATTTAAACTAAAAATAAAAATCCAAATTGGACAATAATTTCAAGACAGGAGAGTACTCCTAGTTTGGTGAAATGAGAGTAGACGATCGTAAATCATTTGATCACAAATTGCATAATCAAAAAACAATTATATTGAATCATTAACCATATTGCTTTCGATTAATGGTACTATAAAATTTGTACCCAAAAAAACAAATAATACTATAAAATTTATCTTGACGGGCAGAACGTGTCCAAATTCTTTGCATTGAATTTCAACGGATAATAGCAGTTATTTGTGAAATCATTATGTGGAATGGGAAAATCCCCTCATGCGTATTTATATTTTGTTTTCCTTCAAGGAGTTGTGATCTTTCCCCATTAGTTCTTGACTGTACCAAAGTACTACTAGTTTACAAAGTTACTCTCTTTCATGAGAAATCCCCATGGAGAGATGTTTGATGATGGGTTTGAGTTTTTCTCTACTCTTAATAATTCCGAAAAACAGAATCCTATATGAGATGGCCATGAGCATCAAGATGGCAAGATCAATCCATTTGGAATAACTCAATTCAACCTGCCAAACATCCCTCAGAATTGTTTCACCATCAATCCATGAAGATGATCCTCCCATTATTCCATTGTTGGGAAATTTGAGCCCTTCAAACTCATTCTTGTACAGTCCTTGAAATCCATATCTGTGGAAGGAGATGAAATACAGAGGATATTTCCAGAATACCTTTGGCAAATCATCGGGTAACCGGAAGAAACCTCCGCTTAACATCATCACTCCTTGCATTCCAGCACTAATAATTAGTCCCATCAGAAAATTTGGAACCAGACTTGCAACAATCATCATAAGGCCTTCCACCAACATGATGCACACAAGAAGCACAAGAGTGAAATAGACAAAGTTTTCAGGGGCCATTTTTAATCCTGACAGGTAATAGGAAATGGCACCAGGAATCGCGGCGATAAGTAACAGGAAGAGGAATGATGAAATTATGTTACTAATGACAAATGCTGCGACTCCATAATGACCATTTAATCTTTCTCGGCGAAAAACCTTAACGCAAAAACATTGCATCAATGTTAGCAGATGGATCTGTTCATATTGAAGAAATGGAAGCATATGATAATCTGCTCACCTTCATTTCCTCAACAAATGAGGGGAAGCCTCCTATTGCCATCATGGTTAACAATGAGACTACAAACATGATCATGGAACCCCGCGCCTAAAGAGAAATACAGAGAAAATCAGAAAAATATTAATATTGAAAATATTTGCAATTGTATGGTAAAATGTAAATATTGAGAGCCTCGCTTACATTAATGGAGCTGTAACTGTTCCCCACGTTATAAAACACGGTACCTAAGCCAAATGCCAAAGCTATGTAAATAGCAAGGCGTAGCCAGTAATAGCCAAGGTCCCGATACATGTTCAGGAATGATCTTTTTGTTAGGACAAGACACTGTCTGAAACAGGTGGGACCATTTTTTGTAATCTTCACCGCTCCAATTTGCTACATTTTAGAGTCAAGTGCGTAATGATTGTTGCAATTGATTCAAGAATTTCATTTAAAATGAAAACTTTCATGATAACAAGAGACTTACTTGTGCATTTATGCGAGCAACTTCTTCAAGGGTGAGGTTATATAAATCAGAGGATGTGTAAGATTCCACTATCTTGTCAAGTAATTCTTTTGTGGTTTGCTTTCCAGGGAAGCCTGATTCAATGTCCTAACCACAACATTTAAGATAGTTCGTAACTGAAGGTTGAGTGTAATGTCGCGAAAAGCCGAAAAGGGAGCTCAATCAATCAACAGAGATAAATTTACCTCATCAAAGTCTGTATTGATCATCATAAGACAATGATCTGCTGGATTGATGAGATTAGGATTCGAAAAGCCACTTGAAGAGAAAAACTAAATCAATACAAAAGGTAAGAGTCATCATTATTGTCACTTTAGCGCATCAAAATCCAACAAGAAGTAAAAGTCCGACTAACCTGATTGACTGCAAAAGTGGATCCAAAATATATAGTCCGGCCTAATGAAAGAAGGCAAAGATTGTCGATTAGTTTGAAGACTTCGGCACTAGGTTGATGCATGGATGCAAACACTGTCATCCCATATTCTCTGGCGAGTTTAACAATGCGATCCACCACATAGTATGAAGCCGCGCTATCTAGTCCACTAGTTGGCTCATCAAGGAAAAGAAGCTTCGGCCTAGTCAGGATTTCGATGCAAATACTCACTCGCCTTTGTTGGCCACCACTCAGACCTTTACTTTCCCAACCACCGATTCTAGTATCAATGCAGCTCTGCAATCCCATTTCCTTGATAGTATTCTCAGCCCTTTCTCTTTTCTCTGCTTTCGACATTGTATTCGGTAGCTGAAGCTGAGCAGAGTAGTACACAGCTTCTCTGGTTGTTAGAGTCCATGTTAAGATGTCATCTTGAGTCACGTAAGCCTGAATTAAGCAAGCATTTGTAGATTATTATTAGGCTTTGATCATATCTGAAGTAGTTTTTGTTGGCCAACTACAACATTACATCAAATAGTACATAATGAATGTGGCTCCGTAACATTCAGACGTGCTAACTTTTTAAGAGCATTTTGCAAAAGAATTAGAGTGCTCACTGAAGTGCCATAAGCAAGCCTTTGAGTTCGACCATTGATCATAATATCCCCACTTTGCTTTGATTTCGAGTCCAACCTCCCTGCGATTAGTGCATCAGTACAGATTTAAGATCTTTTCCCAGTTCTTTTCTATTCGATTAAAGTCATGTAACTTTAAAAAAATATTAGAATAAAGTGTGTGGATTTATGAAAGTAGCTTTCACCAGTTGATTTGTGCAGTTTTTCACTTTACCTAAAGCCGAAATGTACATTTTAGTAGCGGAAGGACTACAAATCAAACCCGGTCTGCCCCAAAATCAGAGAAACCATCGATACCCATCCCATTATCTTCTCAACCCCATTAACGCCGTTGCTCCCAGTCCCCCACCAAGGATGCCGGCAGAGAACACCTCTCAGTTAATCCCACCACCGCTTATCTTTATTATTTTATCAATCGGAAACACCCATTTGTTTTGTTATTGTTTTAAACTCAATCAGAGTTGGTCCATGTCATGTTGTTCTCAAAGATGCAGTGACAAACCTCAATTTTACTCAAACCTGAACCAAGAGCCAAAAATTCTCCATGGTTTTTACTCCATCTGAATTTATCAGTATGACAAATAGTAACTCTTTGATCATTAATTAATCTTCACTTTGGATTTCGGGTCAAGTATTTGCGCTTCGTATACCCAAATCTTCTGGACCGAAACACAGTAATACATCCGATGGCAAGACAATGACTTTGTGATCCGTCCCAGTAACTTTTCCCATCATGATGTTTCCTCCTGATCCTTGAGTATTCTCAGTACTTCGAAGGGCGATATTTCTTGCCAGCACCGACGTCGCGAAATCAATACCTTTTCCGCTGCCGGCACACCATTTCGTCTCTCCGGGGCTCGGCTCTCTGTCGGCATCGATGGTGGGAGTCTAGGAGCATCGGCGGCCTTAATGGGGTAGAAAACATCGCGGGATGGATAGTGATCTGTTTTTCCGATTTGGGGCAGACCGGCAAAAATCAAGTGTGATATGCTTATATTTTACCTATTTATTATATCCCTAATTTATAATTTTTGTAATATATTTTGAGTATAAATATGTTATTTATGTGATTTTATCTTTAATTATAGGAATTATACTCAAATGGAGAAATTGTTAAAATTTTAGGCTAAAATGAAGATAAAAGCAACTCAAATGGAGAATTGAAGATTTGATAAATTGACAAAGAAGAAATTGAAGCACTTGAAGAGTTGGAGGAGTTTTAATTTAAATTGGTTTGAAAAAAAAATAACTTTCTTATTCCTGAAGAAATAAGATTTGAGTAAAGCTTATAAAAAGAAGATTAGTGTTTTATTTTTAGGGACAGAGAGGAAAAAACCCACGCCTCTTCACCCAAAACCCCTCTCCTCCTAGCCCAAACCTTCCACTAACTCCACACCACACGCATCATCACCACCAAAACCCACCTTCCATCACCAAAACCCACACACACACCATCAGCCCCCAACTCCGCCGACCTCATCACCTCCACACCTCATTTTCCACCAGCCCTTCTCACGCAGCCCCATCACCACGCCTCCATCACCATCAAATCCCATCATCACACCATCAGCCCAAAAACCCACACCTCCACGCACCAAATCAACCTCACGCCTCCATCATCCATCAGCACCAAATCACCTACGCACCATCATCACCAAGAGGAGAAGCATTGGATCAATTTCCGGACTCAACTTTTGGTCCACTTCTCTCAAGTTTCATTGTTTTATTTTATTTTATTTGGTGATGATGTGTAGCTAAATTATTTAATCTAGGGTTTTGGATGTAGCCGCCGTACTATTTAATTTAATTTAAGTTATGATTGTGACTTTTTCATTAATTAATATTTATTATTCTTGTTATTTATCCATGTGAATCCCTTATCAATATTTGCATGCTTTAAGGTACTAGCTGAAGTAGCGAGAGTGGAAGGCTAGTATTAGTTTGTAAGAATAATAAACTTAGGTAGTGAGCCACGAGAGTAGGAACACCGCCTTTGCGACTAGTAATTCCAAGGTTCTTAATGTGCTTTTATTAATTTCTGTAGTCACGAGAGTAGTCATAGGATTAGTTTAAGTAAGAGGGTTATGACACGAGAGTGTATAATTTTTAAATTGGTGAATCGTTGTGAGATCAATGAAAGTCCAAAGTCACATATTTATAGATTAAATTAAACTGAATAGTCGGTTAGTGAACCCTTTGCCCTAGGTATTTCTTTTACTTATTTATAATTTTAAATTAATTGTAATTGATAGTTTTAGGTTTAGATTAGTTTAAATTGATAAATTGTTAATCTAAATAATAATAAGAAATAATTTTTAACCGGTACTTGGTAACCTTCTCTGTGGGATCGACCATGTTTTCTGCTTTACTACTAGTAATTGTATTAAGTAGGTAATTAATATTTGACTAGTGTGACGACGGCTTGTCAAAGTGAAATTAAAACTAAATGAAATTTATTGTACTTAATTAAAGCAGCATACAACAAGGACAAGTGTCAGTTTCACGTTAAATATTTTCCCGCCAAAGGCCATTTTCAGTACAAAATGATTTTTGCCACGTGGCTCAACAACTATTCAGGAAAAAAGACCCCTAAAAGAGAAGATTCATATATCACAATAAAATCCTTTTTAAATTTTAATTAGAGAGATAATTACAGGAAGATAGAGACCCGATTTTGGTGATGTAAATGCTTCAATTACAACCCTTAAACTACAAAGATAATCATAGGAAACTAGATTCTTAAAACTCAGTAATCTTTCTTATTTTTTGAAAAATTTCTTTTTATCTTATTCAGTCTAAATCTCAGTCATCGTACCTGTTTCAATTCCGATGTTCTTATGCCAGATTTATTTGGTGTTCTTTTTTAGATCTGACCGATTCTAAATTTGGCGAATCTCATGTTGCAGTCTAAAGTCTAAGCTCTTCTCTCTTTCTCCAAGCGATAAATACCTCCGACGCCGCCGCCGCCTCCAATTTCTCTCCTCAACAATAATTTTGGTTTAATCGGTTCTTATTTTCTGCCGCTACCGACTCACGTCACACAAATTCGTTAGAATCACTTCAGAGATCTTGGCATGATCGAATCTCGGTCAAATCTAGAGAAATTTTCTGATCGTGATCGTTTGTGTTTCACCGAGAAGGGGAGATCGAATCCCTGGTTAAATCCCCTATCAAGTGATATTTGGTGAGTTATCTTCAGAGATTTATTTTGTCTATCTGATTATATTTTATGTGATATTAAACCATGTTTGTGCTGAAGAAAGCTTAATACTTCATCATTTTTTGAGTTGAATTTGTCATTTGTAGCTACCATGTTTCCAAATGATAATCTACCTGTAAGTGAAATTGGTTTGTGCGGTGCCAGTTCTGGGTTTTTTTCGCCAGTTTCTTTCTTTTTGTTTGTATTTCAAGAACTGCGTTTTATAATCGGTAAGTATATACTCTTTACAACCTGTTAGGATTTGCCAATGCTCTTTGGTCAGTTTATGTGATTCTGATGTTTCATTCCTTACATCAAGCGATGAGAGTATATTTCGAGTAATTGTGATACTGCCCCAATCTTTGTTCATGTTTTGGAAACTCGATATACATGGATCTGATGCAAGTTTATGGGAACACTTGGATTGAAGGGTCATAACATGCATAAGAAATACCCTTGATGCATCCAGTTTTATGACTGAGAAATCGTTGGCCTAAGGGAGCATTGATTTATGGCTGTTTGGAAATTCTGTAATCTCTTCATTCAGATAAACAGGCCCTCGAGGAGGATGTTATGTTATATTTTCTGTGCTTCTTCTTCTTTTTATTATTATGATTTTTTAAGCATGTCAAGTTTATTGACTTTGGCATCTATATGTTTGAAATTGCCCATTTCTATGAGATTGAAATAGATAAAGGTTTGAAGCGGATTTGTTTGTCTATCGGTCCATCAAAGTTGTTGAGGGAGTTGTTATTGAAATTGAGGAATTATAGATGAAAATGACCATTGAGAAAAAACTATTTGTGTGTGCTGACGTGTGTAGGAATTGGAGGAAAATCAAGAAGGAAACCATTTAGACTCCTCAGTTGTCAGTCTTTTGTGAAAATCACTTTCCCTACCTCATTCAAATAGGTATAACTTACTGTAATTTTTATTATTTTCTTACTTTGTTTTAATTTTTCTTTTTGTTGTTTCAGAGAAAACAAAAGAAGATCGTAAAGAAATGTATGGGGGTGGTTTCGTCGAATAGAACAAATGCTCCATTCTTATTGGACTCATGTAAGTCATTATCATGCCTTTTCTTTTTGAAGAAATTAAAATTATTTTCTTATTCTTCTAAGATATTTGCGCTATCAAATTGGACTGTGCTTTCCCCAAGAGAAGGGTAATTTTACCTTATGTTTGCATGTTTGGCAGTGATATCACTATTACAACTTTTGTAGAAAAAACAAATTTCATGCGAACATTATAGTTCAAGACACGACTATTTATGGGTTGTTATATTTTCTGCAGGAGAAATATAGGTAAGAAGCAACCATGTCGATTCTTTTACTCTCAAATAATATATGGAAAGAGAGGGTTAGGAAGTTTAAGGCATTCTCGGCAAACCTACGGGCCGAATCAATAAGGATTGGTGGCTACAGATAATTTGATTAGAACATGTACAGTAAAATGATGAGAAACTCCAGCTTAATTAAAGGATAAGATGATTAACGCTTTTTCTGTACAAAGATCACCCATAAAGGGGAATTCCAGCTCTGTTGAATTGATCAGACATAAACAAATGGCTATTTATGAGTAAAACTAGATTTGATTATTTTTCTTTTTGTTGTTTGAAAGCAAAAGGCAGAACTACTGAGATGGCTGGCAGAAAGTTAGGTGAAGAAGAGTTTTTGGGATGATAAATCATACTGTGATTGCAAAGCATCATTCATATCCTGGTGTTGCGATTTGAATTTTGGTGAATTTGTTTCGTATCAGAGATAATGGGGGTTGCTTAAAGTGTTTTCGTTAAATGCTTTTGTTCACATTTAAAGGTTCTTCTTCAGATGTACTTGGTGCCGGTAAGAGTAACTTTATTTTGAAGTTTGGAGTTTTTAAGCAATGGGCAACTTATGCTGTAGATTAATTTTCCCTTTTCCTTACTGAGTAGTGATAGTTTCATCTTTCACCTGTACAAATGTGTAACTATTTACTCATTAGTTGTTAGTTAATTTGAATATAGTTAGTATATTATAAAATTATGTGAATAGTTATGTGATAATAACTATTATGTGCTAGATATAATCGTTACTCTTAGACATATCAATGCACGATCCTAAAGATCTTATATACTACTTAGTCTAACCAAAATAAACTTTTTTTCTTTTATTTTTCATATTTTTGTAATAGAAATGGTACATACTATAATAAAATATATTTTTTTGTATGATTATTTAAGTTACCGACTTCACAGTTCACATAAAGGCATCACTGGACCTTTGCTCGGAGTAAACATCTAGTCTGTAATTAAAAATATAAACACATATCACCTTATAATTTGTTTGTTGCACCACCACATCATGATGCTGATGTGGTGCAGCTGTTGCATGGAATATTTTCTCCATTTCAATTATTTCTAATTAAAATTTGGGATCTTTAAATGTTGAGAACTAGGAACTACAAGACCACCTAACTTGTGTTTTTGGACCAACAACTCGTGAGAACGTGTAATTGAAAAAATAATTAAAAATGGAGAAATGAATTTCACATTGAAAATTTTGAATTTTTAATGTAAAATTAAATATAGACCTTAACCTTCGAAAGGGATCTATCTGGGTCACCGTCACTATTCCGATTTTCTTTATATATTTCGTTTTTTTTTTTTTGAATACTCAGTGCTTGTTTGGACGTCAGATTACAATTCATTTTGCCACTTAAAAATGGAAAGTGTTTCAAGTTGAAAACTAAATGGGAAATGAAAATGTTGTTTGGATGTCATTTTGACCAAAAAGTTGTTTGGATGTTGGTTTTGAAAAAAATATTTTGAACTACATTTTGAAAATATCAAGTTCGAATCATCGCTAAACAATAAAATACGTCATTTTAGTCACTTTAAAAAAGAACACTTCCAAAAACAATCACTCAACTACGGAATCTTGCCAAATATGTCACTCTAAGATTTTTCTTTGTTATATTTTGGTCACTGAACTATTTTTAGTTCTAAAATGGCCATTACACTAACAAAAAGTGTTTCAAGTTGGAATTTAAAATATAAATCAAACCATTATTTGGATAATGTTTTCTTTTCCATTGAGTTTTGTATTTAAGAGATAAAATGAGACAAAATGCAAAATGGAAGGTTGGTCAAGCCAACTTCAATCTTTTGCGATTCTCACGTGATTACAAATTAAGCAACATGGGATGTTGTACATGCATAAATTTTTCTATGAACTCTCACTTTATTATAGATAATTAAGATTCGATTTTTGAACTTCTAATCCTTTACTCCTGTTATGGCTACATTTCCCAATTGCACGTAATATTTTCTTTTTAATGTAATCCGGTTTCTATATATTTTAGTTTTTCGGTAAAAAATTTATTCCCTCCGTCTTATAATTATTGTCCAGTTTGGTTTTTCATTTATAGTTCAAATTATACTAAAAATGAAATGTTAAACTAGATAATAATTTTGGGAAGGAGGAAGTATAGTACATGTAATCTAATCTGATAATACACATGCACGTATGCTACGTTAACATTGGTCGATCCACGCATCGACGAGACGTAATGGAATTCCCTTCAGACATGCAACAAAGGTGGACTGGCACTTCTGTTCCAAACAGACAATTATATTCGTATTTCATTACTTAAATATACTTCACTCTTACTCCCATAACAGAACTAGTGTTTATCTTTCCATAATAATTATATATTACAATAAATTAATTTATAAGATGTTCAAATTTCTTCGCTTATGGTCATTTGATCTCTGAGTTAACGTACTCGTTGCTGTTTGAATTTGAATTTGACCTCCAAAACAGATAGAAAATATCATATTTGTTAGGATCAATATCCTAAATTTCTCTTCCTAATAATAACATTTTCAGGAATCAATGACGAAAGTACTAGTTGCCGTAATAGAGTTCCCATTAGGAGCTCCCATCTCTTTCTAGTTTACACTCTCTCATGAATCATATTTTTTCCTTTTCAAAATCGTAGATTTTTTTATTTAGATTTTCTTTTTGATACAAAGGAATCAACACATAATTAAGATAACACATGCCTAATTGTAAATTTTACTATTTTCCGTACCACAAAAAAATTTTATAATACAATTTCAAAATTCAATGTGGATTATTTTCTTGAAACATAGAGAATAAGAAAGACATGTGCATGGAAAATGCTCAATCTACGTTACGGGCTAGCGGCCGGCTCACTCAAAATGTATTCCCTGCCACAAATAGGCTTTACAGCCATCGTTCTTACCGAATATAAAATTTCTGGACAAGCAAAACGAAAACTTTCTATCATACCACCCCACCCCTCTATGAGAACGTTAGTATTTAAAGTTTTTTTTTTTCTCAGTTTTATTTAAAAATGTGTACCTAATTAAACTCAATATTGATGAATCAATCGATTGACTGATTTCGCCTCAATTAATATAATCTCGGTCAATTTGACACTTCTGCATCTAATAACGGTTATTATATAATGTTAATAATATCCCCGTAAATTCATCCAAAAAATTAGTCAAATATTAATATATTGCAAAAATAGAAAGATAAGTTTGACTTCCAACAATAGAAAACAAAAAAACAAGACACCATTGCCACTAGACTGCTTTTTTGTCATCTATCTTACGATATGTCATATGTTGGATAAATGTAAATCTTTTGTGTTCTTCCCGTATTTTGCACCTCTTAAGAATGGAATTGTCTTTCCATGTTAAATCACTGGATATCTCCCGTGATCTCTGACCATGATTTCACACTCCGCTTAATTACGTCTCATAATAATTAAATGACTTGTTTGTCGAACTAAAGTACTCTAAAATAAACATAACCTTTATTTGATACGGAAGGAATATATAGCATACTTTATCTATTGAGAACTTCAAAAAATTCGTTGGAATGTTTTAATTCATCACACTGAAATATTTGCCACGATAAATGTGTATGCTTACGAATTTCCGATCAAAAGGCTTTTTATAAGTGCAAACATTGTAACAGAAAAACGAGCAAAATGTACCTGCTAAAGCATCAAGAAGCGTGGACTTGCCGGATCCAGAAGGACCCATGATGGCCAAAAGTTCACCGGGTCGGGCATACCCGGTGAGCCCCCTTAGTATGGATTTACTCCCTCTTTTCCCATCTCGAACACTCACCCATAAATCATCCCACGTCAAGAACACACCTTCCCTTTGTCCTCCAAAACGCCTGGTAGTTTCCTCATTTCCTTCTCCATGATCTTCATCATCATCATGAAGAACTTCTTTTTCCATTTTCGTCGAAACATCAATCTCATACTGCTCTATGTCACCGACATGGTCGTAAGTATTACTATCATTGCAAGCGGCCATTTTTGTGTATGTAATAGTTACACATATACCTAGCGGTTAGGACAAGAAGCAAAAAAAAAATTTGCTTCCCAAGGATAAGTATATATGAGTAGTATATTAGATTGTATGGGTAACGGGCTTAGGGGTGTGGAGACTTTGAATATATATGCATACTACATAGAGAGAAATTTTAGGAGATGATGATTGATATGTGCTTATTATCATCATTGATGAATGATTGAATACTAAGAAAAAGTGGTGCGAGAAGATGGGTGGCATTCAATGGTCATGCATCCATATTGGATACCAATAAATCTACTTATGAAAAAGTTAAAGATTGGTAGTTAGATTCATTCATGATGGAGAGCTACATTTCAGTTTCGCGGAGTGGAAATAAGTTGACTGAAATGATCCCTAATATATATGAAGAATTGATTTAATCGTAGATGCTTTGTATTGAATTTGATCCGCGAGACGTGACAAATTGTGTGTCAATATGCGTGTCTGTTTATAGGAGATTTTTCTTTTCAAAAAAAGAAAAACCAAATATAGTATATGAACAGTTCAGATGTGATGATTCTATACGCCAATTGGTCAACAGGGTTTTCGTTTGTATATTTGGCCAAATCTCATATCACTGGTCCGCAAATTTTATGTCACAGATTTGTTAGTTTTGGCTCTTCCATTTTTAGGTTTTGTCGATACATTGACTAATTTTTTCTACGACTTCCTTTTAATTTTGACGTATTATCAGACTGTTTTGGAGAGTAAAACATACATCACACACAATACCCTATCTTTGTTAATCAGCCTAATTGATATAATTAGTCAAATTAATTTAAAATTTCGATAGAGCACTGATATTTTGTTTGTACAATTAACGAGGCTAAAGGTATGAAAAATTAAATTTTAAAATATCCTGTAAATAAAAACTATCGAACAAACCGTGTTCCAATCACATGAATAATTAAGACAAGAGATAACATTGTGATTTTTCTTAATTACTCGACAATGTTTTGATATCTCTTATAATCTCTTTTTGAATGTCCAAGACATCTTCCTCATCCACTCGATCTTGCGGTATCCATAGTTTAGACAATGTTATGAAATCTAAACCATGTTCATGTTGAGAAATGGATATACATACGGATATACTTTTTGAAAACTCAAGATCCTACTTGTAGAACCCCTCATAAAAGGTTGGAATGCAATAGTTTATGTTATAGATAGCGGTGAGAGATGTAGCCATTAATTCTTTATTTCATTCAAGGATATGATTGGGAACAGATTGAAGATACATGAAGTGATATTCAAATAGGGAAAATGTCCGTATTAAAGTGATGGATATGCCATGAATTAAATGTTGGTTCAAAATGTCCAAACATGAACAGGTACGAATAATTAAGTTTAACTCTAACTCATTTTCAAATATCAAACTCTGGTAATTAATTTACTGAATTAGTCGTGTTTTGATGATGATAAACGTACAAGAGGGGGGAAAAAGAAGAAAAATCCTATGTTAAAGTTGTAAAATAAAACAATGGGACAATGACATACTATGTTATTGGAATATCTTTGTCATCCCTCTCATATTCCTCGGGACAACCCTATTTAATTAAGTGTTTGAAAATATGAATGTTGAATGTTGAAAGATTACTAACTTTTCATCCTCAAAACCGTTGGAATTCAATTTCTGATGGGAAACACTACCAAATACCAATTATCAGGTCTGTTTTTTTCCAAAACCAATACTGAAGAATCAACTCAACTATAGAAAATTAAGTATCGTTTGAAAAAGTTGTTAATAGTACTCTTCATCTCAATAACTCATTTCCTTGAGTTTTTTTTTTTTGTTCCGTAAGCTATTGTGACAATAAGACCGGAGCAAGTAAGAACTGATGCCAAGTGCGGTTAATCAGGTCGAATAGCAAACAAAGCAATTGAACAAGGGGTGGACTATCCCTCAAACCTAAATACACACATTTTATACATCAATGAGAACTAGATTAATTGTTCTCGAGAATACTTCCTTGGATCGATCTATTATATTATCCAATACATCAGAAGGAAAATAACTTTATTCTCGATGTTCTCAAATTCACTTTATGCCTCGTTAATACAGACCTATTCCTTCTGTAAGGTGGTTACCATCATCTCTTCTTGATAGACGTCATTTTATTGCCTTAAACCTACGAGTATGGGGGCTTCTTGATCATGCACTGTCTCAAACTGAGTAGCGGAAATTACACTCTTATGTAAAAGTCTCGGTCTGTCAAATGCCACCCCAAAACTTGGGGGCTCCGAGATGAGTAATAACTCCGGAGTTATGTATAACGAGGTATGTTTATATATGGGAGATTGTAAGCCGTCTGGAAGGTGTGTAAGGTGTTTTGGAAGTGTTTGGGAGGTTGTGTTTTTGTTTTTTCGATAATTATTGGTCTACGGATCTCTTCCTATGACTATTCTCGATGGTTCTCAGACTGGGGTATCGTTTCTTCTCACACTAATGCGTAATACCTCCTCGATTCTTACTCGAATCTCGAGCAACGACATTATACGTCTACTGGGGTTCGACATATCAACCTGATTTATACTTCTCAAACCCGGACTAAGGGTTCTATGCTTTATTTCTCGAGACATGAGAAATGACAAGCGGGTCTGTTGGGCGGACATAAATAAGCTTAAATGCACGTGTACCTTCTTCAAAGTCAGATAGTTATGATTCTTGAGGTTGTTCTGGATTTCTACTCGAGAGACTCTTCTCGAGACTCATGGATAATTTCATATGCGGCATCTTCTACTCTCTTTAATCCCTCCGCAATAATCGAGGATGCTTATGGTGACAGTCTCGACTCACTAAATACTCTTTTACACTCGAGCTGGTCTATTCAAATCTCCGGGGTCCTTAACATTTCTTTATAGAAAAGATTATACTGGGGCAAGTTCTCGACGAGCGGTGCAATCCCAGACAGTGTTCCCTCTTAAACTTATGTCTTCGACACCGAGTATTCTCTGTCTTCATTCCTTATGCTTCTCGATCTACTACTCAGTGGTTGTTCTCGAGGGTTGGGTCTATTACTTCTCGATCAGAAGCTTACGTCACATTCTCCCAGTAGACTCCTCATTCCTACAGTTGATATAACTAAGCTACTGCTAAAGACACGAATTTTGGGACTAGTAGGAATCTCCACTACGTTTCTTTCTCGATTCTCTCAATGAGTGGGGCACATGTTTTGATACTTCCCTGGAGCATAACATGGAAGTCATCATGGAAGACCTTCTCGACTAACGCCTGGGCAATGACGTGAATTACAATCTTCAAACAGATTTGTTCCGGCACTCGTTGTAACTTCAAAAGTCATTGATAATGCATTTCTGTATTCGGGGTAATGGGAATCCCCATTACACTCCTTTATTACCTTCTCAATCAACAGGGTATCTGCCCTAGTACCTCAATGGGGCAGATTATTAAGGTCATCACCTATCGACTTCTCACTCGAAGGCTTGAACTGATGGCTCTCTTTCTTTACAAATTGGCGTAAAAGTCAATCGCCCTTTATAACGCGTACATTCGACAAGGTACGCGTTGATGCTTTCATTACCTTGATTTCCCCTCTATGCTAACCTGTCACAGTTTTTTATTCAAATCAGTTCTTCCCAAACTTGAGAAAAATTTATACTTCATGTTATCAAGCCTATCCTATCTTCAGACTTCGAAGTATAGGCTTGATAAGGGGCACTTGACGAGTCCAAATAGTACGGGCTGTAACTAGGCCGGCCCAAGTTCGGTGAAAGGTCTAACCGACATCTGAAAGCTTTTAGGTTGGTTCTTAATTACTTTTCTACCACGAAAAGGTTTCATAACCTAACTCTATAAATAGGGATCAACCCCTCACGTCAAAGGTACGTTCTACGCACCACAATTCATACCATATTACAATTACTCATACTGACTTAAGCATCGAAGTATCTACCCTCGGGAGACCCCGAGACCCTCTTTTGCAGGTTTTAGGGTTTTGACTCCGCCATGGCCGCCGGTTCAACCGACTGGAGATGTTGGTGCAGATCCATGCTTCGTCAATTACATAATTCTATACACCAAATATATACTCTCTCTGTCCAAAAATTATTGTCCAGTTTGAATTTTCGTTTTTAGTAAAACTTAAACTAAAAATAAAACTCCAAACTGGAGAATAATTTTAGGACGGAGGGAGCAATATAATTGTAAATTTGTAACAATAATGAAAATTTTACATCATTTCCTTTTTTTTTCTTTTGATGATTTTGAGACAAAAACGAAACAAAGCGTCCATTGAGTTAGGTCTAATAAACAACGCCGTACACACTTGATAGAATGAAAGTAGAATATTTTCTTCGTTTTATTATACGCCTCACAAAGGCTTCCTGACTTTTGTGACATACTCCCACCGTCCTATCTTCAACAATGTGCATGAATTTCTAAACTGAGATGAATGCAGTACCGTTATAATTTTTCGGTTTTTGTACTTCTTGTATTAGTCTTTTATATTTTATGCAATATGAATGTTACTTAATTTTGCAACGAAAAAAATAATAATAAAAACAACATTGTCAAGATCCAAGAATGGGTGAGCTAGCTTGAAGAGATAATAATTCTTCTCAAAGCGTAAAATACAACTGTATCATCTAGAAGACGTGTAGGCCTTCAATGCAGGTAGCTGTATACGTATTACAAGATCTAACCTTCAAAGACTTTAATTTGAACCAGTTCTTTAGGTTTCTCCAGCATATTGATCTTCAGTTAATGAAGCCTGTATCTTTAACACCACAAAAATAAATTAATAAATAAATAAATAAATAATAAAAAATAAAAAAAGAGAAGAAGGTTTCAGAAATAGAAATGTGGCTTTCCCGATATGGGCACGTTTTGTTTTATAGTATAGCACCACTTGGCAAGCAAAGGGTAAAGTTTGAAACTGATCATAGAAAGAAGACTCAAGAAGGCATCTAATAAATAATTCGGGAGACAAAATCATGGATTACATATATATGGTCCATTCCTTCATTCATTATACGCAGCTACTTAGCCGCTCAAACTTTTGCTCGGCAGTTGCCTTTTTCCACTCTGTCTTTCTATTTTTGTCTGGAGAGACTCGTAAGTAAGCGACTTTGGTCTTATTCTTTCATACTTCCCGGCGTCGAGGGTAAGTTTATAACTATATCTTGTCTCCTGAGTTTGGTAAGGGTTAAAATGTGTATATTTAGGATATCTCGTACTCTATCCCATACAAAAAAATAATAATAATAATAATAAAAATTATTTACCACTTACCAAAAGGTTGAAATTGTGCCCTTGATTCTAGGGTATTCTAGGTGAATCTTTTAAGTTAAGAGAAGCACATGGGAAACAATCTCTCTCAACAGCGAGGAGCCAAATATTGCATGAATGCTACATTGATTGGTTGGGGTGGTTCCATCTTCAATGGTTGGAAGTTGGAGGTTTCTTCATTTCTCTTATTTTCTTCAGCGGATAATAATGTGATCGTGGAGACAAAAATATTTTAAATGGGAGCATAGGCTTGTCTTTTGACCTTTATAAGTGTACGTGTTTTGATTCCCGCCAATCGTTGTTTCGAATCGAACCCATATAAGTTGGTCAATAAGGTAGTAATTGAATATTAAGCGCAACAAACTAAATTCAAGCACATAACAAACTTTTAAAAGTACAGAAAGTATGAATCCTTGATTGGTGTCGAGATGTGTAAAAGCATGCTCGACGCGCGTCACATCGGCTCATAATAACAAATACCAGTCATGTTTGTAATTTTTTTTCCCCGCAAGAAAAATAAAATCCACATTAATTTATCATTTCATTTGTTTGATAATTCCATTGCCACCTTCAAGGCTTCACCCCGTTTACTATTATCATCGTTAGTACTTATTAGTAACATAAAACTTAGATTGAAAAATATATAACAACCAATTTACGTGTTGTACCTTGCGTAAAAATATTTACTGTCAAAACAAGATTATATTTATGGGATGGAAGTAGTATGTTTTTCTCATTTGTAGACAGCATATTACTATATTAGTACCAAAAGAAAGGAGATTAATTTTTATGCCTAGCCAAGACATTTCTAGGCTTTGAAGCTTGAAAGCAAGCTTATAAATTAGTGACATATATAATTTCTTTTTTCATATGAAAGTGATTAATTCTTTCCTACATTAACATTTCGATGATGGCAACAATCATGGAGATCACGGGGCAGCATTATGTCGACAGGTTATTGCCGAAGTCGATAACGCGAGCATTATTTCTATGGTTCAAGACGGGAAGGAAACATGAATGCTGGGATCGTTAATGGGATTCGAGAGCTGTTGCAAGCGTGATTGGAGTGTGGAAGTCAAATATGTGTTTTGGGAGGTGAATTTCGTAGCCGATTATTTGACAACTTTAACATTACAAGGTCTCAGAGAATTACAATAGTTTAATTATTTGTCAGTTAGAGTTAACCCTGGTTGTATCATGATTTAATTGCTAGTTTGATTATAGGCTGTGAGCCTCCCATTTTGCAACAAAAAAGGGGAAAAAAAACAATCATGGAGAACAGGAGAACTCCAACGAAACAACCAGTCCCAAAGGTTATGAATATGAAGGCCCAAGGAATTAGAGTAGCTGACTTCAAGTCTAATGTTGTTTCTTTTGAAGTTGGGCCTCTCTGTGTGGACAAAGGGACACAGGCTTTACTTATGGGCTGAACGATCCATTTTCCAAATTTTGTCGATGCCGACGTGGGCCCCCCTGCGGATAACATTTTTGAGCCTTAACAGCATCACAATTCAATTACATGGCTTATCCCAGAAACACGAACATGGTCGCAAAACTAGTGTGATTCTTCTTCTTGCTCGCCCCGCATGATTCTAAATGGTAATTCCGTAGTTTTAATTATGACCCTTCTCCCGTTGTTCATCGATGGTTCTTTGTCTGTGTTTTTCTTACTGGTTTTTGGTGTTGTTTGAGTTCTGCAAGCAAGTTCAGCATTTTGCTGGTTCATGAAAATGAAGATCATAGACTACAATAAAACTCGAGTAGACTTTTAGCAGTTTCCTTCCTTGGTTGATTTCTTGTTGCTCTCTTTTGTTTTGTTAACTTAATTCTGGCAGTTGAGTTAAAGAATGGCGGCTGTATTCTGCAATCTGAACTTGCCTTTTGAAATCAGTGACTTGCAGCTTCAGTTCAGGAATAACAGGCAAGCCCACCGAAACCTTTACTTCTTTATTTGTTTCAGTAGGTCGTTCAATGCTTACATTATCAGGCCGAAACAGATTTCTTGTTTGCTGCTATCATGAAGTTGTGTGTCTGATAATGTTCTATAGTTTGATAACAGAAAATTTTGATCTCTTGCGCTCTAGTAACTGTTGCTTTTGGCTAATTATGTTGCTCTACTAGCGAAGAATTATGTTCAGTGGATAATTCGAGCCCTTTTTTTCTATTGCACCTGTAACACAACATTTGTATGTAAAAAATTAGTCATCATTGTTCTGCCTATTGTTCTACTTCTTGGGATATCAAAAGCTGTTCTTATGAGAATCGGCCAACTTATATAACCCTTTTCAAAGGTATACATTTATGAACAAGTTCAGTTGAAATTTATGCAGGACTAATCCAACAAATGTTGGCTCTGGTTTGCTTAGAAGAACATCGTACTGCAGTAGCCCTGAAACATTTCATAAGACTAGAGTAACATGGCTAGGACTAAAGCATCCACGGCCACAATGGAGAACCCTTTTCAAAAGCAATTCTGATGTTGTTAATGTTGAGGCAATGGAAGATGAGATTTCTATGCCAACTTTAATATGGAGGGCAGTCAAATTGCCAATTTATTCTGTTGCCCTGGTTCCCCTTACGGTAGGTGTCATCCTTTTCGCCTCTTATTTTTATTTCATACAAGTTCCTTTGAATGTATTATCTAGCCTTTAATGGTTGCCGTTTATATTTAGTTCTGCTGGAGTGCTCTCCCAGTCCAGTAAGCTTTTCACTATTGTATTTCATTGCTTCGTTTCAACAGGTTGGAAGCGCTGCTGCATTTTGGCAGACAGGCTTATTTTCTGCAGGACAATTTATTCTTCTCCTGGCCTCATCTATTTTTGTCATAGCTTGGTTGAACTTAAGGTCAGATACTTTGTAGCTTTTGGACATTCTACTCTACTTACTTTCTTATGGGACTTGTGAGTTTATAGCAGAGAGATTATAATGCAGAACTGTATCAATAGAAACAAATACAACATTTCAAGTTAAAAAATGCACTCGATTTCAATTATAAGCCTCTTCTGTAACTGGATGTAGTGTGCTGCTAGTTGCTTTCTCTTCTTTATCCATTTATATTTGGAATAAAAAAATGGTTGTCTTTTGTTTCCCTGTTTGTTTCCTCACATGGCATTCACTAGTCCACGAGTAACAATGTTTTCAGTTATCCTTGAGTTCTACGTATCCTTATTTACATTTCTGTACTATGGGCAGCAACGACGTTTATGATTTTGATACAGGAGCAGATAAGTACAAGAAAGAGTCAGTTGTAAATATAGTAGGCAGGTAAGACTTCAAGTCCGACATTTTAGTCCCATATATCTTTCTAACTGTTTTCTTTGTTCTATTACTCGATCAATAATGAGGGTATAACCCTCTATAACAGTCTTCCTGAGATATCCTAGTCAAAATTAGCTGATTGGAACTTTTTTATCATATGAAAGCCGTACTGGGACCCTTGTTGCTGCATACATATTGCTCGTTCTTGGTCTTCTGGGGATTAGTTGGGCATCCTTGAGGGCAGAAAATCTACGTGCAATTTTGCTGTTGGCTTCTGCCATCACCTGTGGATACATATACCAGGTGATACAATATGTTGGTTTACCTACTACAATTACAAGCACCTGGAATTTGCTTGAGAATATGCTAAATTTCGTGCCTGACAACTTGAAACAGTTTCTGTGGGATACAAGTAAAGATGCATATGCTTTGTTACTAGAAAAATATTTGGTTCCTAGTCAAGATCCTGTATACAGTTTACATGAACAATACTTCAAATGCAACTGGTTTCAGAAATTTTCTTTTTGTTGATCTGTCTGCCAACCTTCGTAAAGTCACTTTTCATGGCTCATGTAAAATTTCTGATTGCAGTGCCCTCCATTTCGGTTAAGCTACCATGGACTAGGAGAACCCTTGTGCTTTGCAGCTTTTGGACCATTTGCTACAACTGCTTTTTATTTGCTTCAGGGCAGGTACTTTTTATTGTATTTGCATTATGCCAAAATCTCGTTTCATTATACTCATTGTTTTAATTATAGCCAGCCGCCTATTACGGGAACTCTCCTCTCTGCATCAGTCCTGGTTGGCCTTACAACAACACTGATCCTCTTTTGCAGTCACTTTCATCAGGTACCCTCCCTCATTCGCTTGCTCTCTCCATGAGCTTTGTAACTAACTGAATCATTCACTGGTGTTTATTTAGGTAAAGGATGATAAAGCTGTCGGAAAGATGTCCCCTTTGGTTAGTTCTTTGACTTTTTAATGGAATTTGTCCACAAATACCTGAAAAGTAGATCAACTGAATATTTACCATGTTCATTTTTCTTCCATTTCCAGGTTAGACTAGGTACCACAGCAGGTTCAGATGTGATCAGTGTGGCTGTGTTGATTCTTTATTCATTTTTGTTTATTGCTGGTTTGTCTGGAAATCTTCCATTGACAAGCGTTGTAAGTCTTTTAAGCTTGCATCTATGAATGCAAAGAAATGTTTTATGATTTCTAAAATATCCATGAGAATGTTAATGGTAGCAATCTCCTTTAAAGGTAAGATGGCCATTTCAGTCGTCTAATTGCTTCCATTTTGATTCCAGATTTTATGTGAAGTGACCATCCCTATTGGGAGATTTATAGTAAGCTATGTCAAGGCAAACCACAAGGTCAGTTCCTTTTCTATGTGGCCCTTTTCCCTGACATTAGAGTTATTGTCAGCTTAAGATAAAAACTCTGGTGAATGATGATTACTTACAAAGAACTGCTACAACTTTAGGATAACAAAATGATGCACAAATGTGTTGCATTCTGAAATTTGCTTGTTTATCTACACTAAAAGTAAGTTTGGCTGTAAAAGGAAAGTGCATGGATACACCAACGAATTGCTCTGCTGCTGAGCTTTGGCATGATCTATATTTTGCAGGACAATAAGAAAATCTTCATGTCCAAGTATTTTTGTGTGAGGTTGCATGCTGCATTTGGAGCTGCTTTGGCTGCTGGACTTGTTGCAGCTCGACTGCTTGCCAGAGTGTAAATCCCAAAGCCAATTTTGCCTTAGAATTTCCACTCGCGCCAGGTGAGGCTGTAGATTACGAAACATTCCTGACAATCTACATAATATGTTCATGTTTATTAAAATTAACATTCATTGGTTGGTTGGCTTTCCTTGTTCTCGCAGGATTAAGTACTACTTCTCAGTCACTTACACTCATCTCAAGGAAGGATCTTCCTCATCAGCAGCACGATGTATATCTACTTGCGTAGTTAGAGTTGAAAACTAACATAATTCCACCATGTCAACCAGACCATGGCAAACATCCTTTCTAACTAACATGTATAGATCTTACAGCTATGCTGAACAATGCAACCCGGATCTTCTATGTGAAACTTTCATGTGGCTGACGACAGTGGATGATGTGTATTATGCCTTTGGCAATATGCAATTGGCAAAAAAAAGAAGCAACTAGAATGTGTTCGTCCGAGAAACAGGCATGGCTGATCTACTCATTTTGACCTGCCTTCAAGTAAATTTGTGAACTTCTGCTCACTGATAGTTAACGGCAGATGATGATTGATCGTTTGTTATGGAACCCTTTAGTGACCCTTTTAATTTATGATATTATAGCTGATCCATCCCAGTTAAGGCTAATAGCAAATAAAGTTTATGCATCGACATCATGTCGAGTTAGCATTATGAAGTGAAGTATCTGTGATTTATTCAATAATTGTCCTTAATCAACGCGGCAATGATTTGTTGGTTCAAAAAAGGAGACGAATCAAAACAGTGATTTGGAGGACCATTTTGATGCTGACCGGCCGAAAGTGACACCCGATCACCGGAAGCTGGAGTATTCCCGAATAGAAAAACCAAAAGATAGTCTCAGTGATCTTGCCTTACGCAGGGCATGATGCATGAGATACCAGATTGAGTAAAATAATAGACTCAAGTATAATCTTATTATTGGACTATCATTCAAGAGTAATTCACCCCAGCAAATTGCATCCCCTAATTGAAAGGGTTTGAAGACCACCTACTCGAAAAGCTCTACCATACAAACAATTTTAAATTAGGACTACAATTTTTTTTTAAAAAGAAAAATCCCATGAAATGGCCCTAAGAACGTGTTCTTGCATGCTTCCCTTCCTAATCAATAAACAGTTTCCAAAAATAGCAACAAATTATATTAAACTCAACCTGTTAGTTGTTACACAATTGGTTTTTTATAAACTGAAGTTCTGAAGTACAATCAACAAAAATGGCATCCTTAATGAATCCATTAATTAAGAGTTCCTTAAGCTCCTTTAACAGTGCAAAATGTTTTTCAGGAACCATTAGGGGATTCAGACGCACGATCAGCAATGTCCAAGGCAACAATGCAGTTTATGGAGGTCCAAAACCTCAGAACAGTTCAAATCAGAGAGTGACCTTAACCACCTTACGCCAGAAGCACAAAAAAGGGGAGCCAATCTCAATGGCGACGGCGTATGATTACACGTTCCGCGGTTCATCTTGACATTGCTGGAATTGATATCTGCCTAATTGGTGACTCTGCTTCCATGGTGGTTCATGGCCATGACACTACTTTGCCTATTTCTCTGGAGGAAATGCTCATGCATTGCCGCGCGGTTTGTAGAGGCGCCAAGAGCCCTTTTCTTGTAGGGGACCTTCCATTTGGTACTTATGAATCAAGCCCTCATCAGGTGAAGTTGCACACAATGCCTTCTTGCATTCATGTCGATTATGTATGTTAACGAATTCGGGACTTTAACTCTGTCAACTACATGCTGTTTGTACCTTTAGGTTTATGCTTTGTTTTCCTATGAAATTGGTTGTTGAGTAGACAATGTTTTGGTAAATGTACAGTTTTGGTTCCCCCTGAATTATGAGCAGGCAGTGGATGCAGCAGTTAGGATTCTCAAGGAAGGAGGAGTGGATGCAGTCAAGTTAGAAGGTGGAGCACCATCAAGAGTAGCTGCAGCCAAAGCTATTGTTGATGCTGGAATTGCAGTCATGGGGCATGTTGGGCTCACACCCCAGTCTATCAGTGCTTTGGGAGGATTCAAGTCTCAAGGCCGAAATGTCGCTAGCGCTGTCAATGTAACCTTCTTTTTCTTGCATTCAGCATTCAATCTCGACCTTATTTTCTTTCACATTGTGGACATCAAGTAAGTTATAAATACGTTAAATGTAACGAAGGTTGTAGAAAAAGCGATGGCGTTGCAAGCAGCAGGTTGTTTCTCGGTTGTTTTAGAATGCGTACCTGCACCTGTAGCTGCAGCAGTCACATCAACCCTCCAAATCCCCACAATTGGCATTGGAGCTGGTCCTTTCTGTAGTGGTCAAGTAAACCTTCTAGCTCAATTTTGCTGTTCTTTTGTGACCAAATAATAGTATCAAAATCAACTCTTTAAGCGGCCTAATGATACAAATTTGATCTGTAAAATCATATACAAGTGTTTGTTAAATTGCGAGAGATACAGATAGCTTTGTTTCATTACCAATACCAAATTATTGCAGGTGCTAGTTTACCATGATCTCTTGGGGATGCTGCAAGGCCCTGATCATGCAAAGGTTGATATATAGTTCCCTTGTCAATTAGGACATCTTTTAGTTTCTTGTGTTGTTTCTCTTGTGAAATACTTAAACAATGTTATGTCTGATGATGCATCTGGATTATTATAGGTTGCTCCAAAATTCTGTAGGCAGTATGCACAGGTTGGAAATGAGATCAACAGAGCTCTTCGAAAGTACAAGGAAGAAGTCACAAATGGTTCCTTTCCCGACACCCTCCATAGCCCCTATAAAATTTCGGCTAATGAATTGGATGGTTTTGTGAACGAGTTGCAGAAGCTCGGTTTGAGCAATGCTGCATCTGCAGCTTGTGTTGCAGCCGGAAAGGCGGAGGCCGACAACAATCATTATGCCAGTGTTGCCGTTGCAGCTGGAGGATGAAGCTCTGTCCCCTTTCTCCTTATATATTAAAGCCATATATACCCCTTTCCCCTATCAGGAAATGCTGGAGTAGTTTGTTCAGGGTTTGGTCTGTTTTCCTGTTTGTAATTTACTCAATGCAGATTCCTAACAATCAAGCATAAGTTCTTGTTTACAATCTACTTTACGTTTTTCTTTCTACACAATTCCCTACAGAATCTTTACTGACCTCTTTCCAGAAAAGACACTTTTTTTTTCCAGAACGAGTTACAGAAGCTAGGTTAGGGCTGCCATTTTGTTTGAATTTAATTGATTTTGTTGATTAAGCTCTTGTGTAGTGCCAGAGATTTGATCAATTCCAAGCAATGAACACCTAAATGTTGTTATTCATCCTTGTTTCGACTTAATGTATTTGAAAAAAAAAAATAGCATACTACTTTTTACCAAAATGATTGTCTTGTTTGTTATAGAGGGCGAAAATGTCGATAACATTATGCTTGCTGCAACTTGTATTTGCAAACTCTAATTAGTCTCTCAATTCAGAATGATAATAGCAAAGGGGCAACAAAAGCCCTTCCACACTTTTCAATTCCCGCAAACTCAATCAAAAGTCAAAGACAGAACTCCAAATTGCAATTATCCTTCATCATAATCAAAAGTCAAAACGTAAGAAAATGAAAATTCTCATAAACCCTCAGCCCCTGTGACCAACCTACCACCCCTCTCAAACTCTCTCAACTCATTCCAATCGAATTCTTCAGTTCTGCTGCCTGAGGCTCAAGCTCCACCTATAAATTTAAGCCCAGACCCAAAATTTTCATTGGTTTCTTTTCATTCCTCTGAAATTCGATGGCGTTATCCAGTTCCATGAAGAATTCCTTATGCTCCATCGCCAAAAGAACATCTTTTTCGAAGACCCTTATGGGATTTAAGTGCATGAGCAATGTTCCAGAGAATACTGTTTACGGAGGGCCAAAGCCACAGCAACCAAATCAAAGGGTGACCCTAACCAGTTTACGCCAGAAGTACAGAAAAGGGGAGCCCATCACCATGGTGACGGCCTATGATTATCCATCTGCAGTTCATCTTGACGCAGCTGGTATTGATATATGCCTAGTGGGTGACTCTGCTTCCATGGTGGTTCATGGCCATGACACTACTTTGCCTATTTCTCTTGATGAAATGCTTGTTCATTGCCGTTCTGTGGCTAGAGGCGCCAAGAGCCCCCTTCTGGTTGGGGACCTCCCGTTTGGTACTTATGAGTCCAGTGTTCATCAGGTGAATAAAAGGATTAGTTGCATGTGTTAATCTCAAGATTATGCTTTGTCAGCTTTTTACTTTTAGCATATTACCATTCTGTTAATTTGATGAGATGTTAATTTGATGGAATGTTCTCATTGTTTGAAAGTTTCCTTGAGGTGGTTTTGAGGGTAGGTACTGAAAGATATATCATTGGATGTCTGAATAATTAGCTGGTGGAAGATTTCAGATGAACATGAAATAAGGGAGAAAGAGAGTCTGATATATCTTGAGGACATCAAAGATTGCATCTTTTTTGTCATTTTTGATCCTGTTTAGCTTGAAATGCTAGTCCAACAAGTTTTACTATTTCGAGGGATTATATATGTTTCTTTGTATGACCCTAAGCCTCTTTCTTTGTTTTGGTCTTTTTTTTTTCCTTAACTTAATCTGTTTTTTAAAGTATTGATCCTAATTGAGTGGTTTTTGTTCTATTTCGTGACAATAAATTATTTGTGGTCTTTTTTTCTCTGTTGGAATTGGTTATTGAACAGATAATGTCGGTGATATTGCAGTTTGACTTATGAGCAGGCAGTTGATACAGCTGTTAGAGTTCTGAAGGAGGGAGGAATGGATGCAATTAAATTGGAAGGTGGAGCACCGTCAAGGATAACAGCAGCTAAAGCTATTGTTGAAGCTGGCATTGCTGTGATAGGGCATGTCGGGCTTACACCCCAAGCTATTAGCGTTTTGGGAGGATTTAGGCCTCAAGGTCGAAATGTTGCTAGTGCTGTCAAGGTGATTATATTGATTTCAATTATCAGGATTACTTTGCATATTTTCAAACAGGAAAAGGACTATACTCTGTTTTGTTTTCTTTTGATTGTCATTATGTCATTTGTTAAGTATTCATTGGTTAAGTATTCAATGGTTCATGGTCAATGGACATGTAGGTTGTGGAGACAGCCCTTGCACTGCAAGAAGCAGGTTGTTTCTCGGTTGTTTTAGAATGTGTTCCTGCAGCTGTAGCTGCTGCAGCAACAGCGGCCCTCCAAATCCCTACCATTGGCATTGGGGCAGGCCCGCATTGTAGTGGCCAGGTAGCTAGCCATTTATCCTTTGCTTATCCCAAATAGGAGCAAGATATGAAAATTTAGTTTAATTGTTAAATTGCATCTCTTCCACCATCATGTGGTTAATTCGATCTCAAATTTGAATCCACATCTGAGAGCATGAATGATTTGATCATTTCTCATTAAGACTCCTGCTTTAATTTTGTCCTTGTATTCTGATGTTATGATTGAGATGCAGCTTCACCGACATGATTTTAAAGAATGAAAATAGAGCACTTCCAAGTTCCATTTTAGGAGTACAAACTTGGCACCGAGTCTAATGTTTTCTGCGTATATTCCCAAAAGCAGGTGCTGGTTTACCACGATCTCTTGGGGATGCTGCAACATCCACATCATGCTAAGGTAAGAAGTTCAGCTTAGATATTTAGATATCTTCTCTATATCCTTCCTGGATGTCTTTGCACGTAAATAAGATGTGTCAGATGCTTAGTGGTGGTGATGCATCTTGATTCTGCAGGTTACTCCAAAGTTTTGTAAACAGTACGCTCAGGTTGGAGATGTGATCAACAAAGCACTTTTGGAGTACAAGGAAGAAGTCACAAACGGTTCCTTCCCCAGCTCTGCCTATAGTCCGTACAAGATTACTGCAGACGATTTGGATAGATTTTCGAAGGAGTTGCAGAAAAAAGGTCTGAATGATGCTGCATCTGCCGCAGTCAGTGTTGCAGCTGGAAAGCCTGGAACTACTCAATAATCAGGTTGGGAAACAAATGAAACAGAGTGGTAGTATTCTCTTAAATGGACTTAGCATAAAATAAAGCCAAGGGCGTTAGAATCTTAGACGACAAGAGACAGTGAAGAGTGAAGACAATGGAAGTTCCAAGCGTTTTATTCTTTGGCAAAGCTAATGACCCTTTCAGCTGGAAGTATAAGTTTAGGAACATCCATCCACCTTTTTTGTTGCTTTCTTGTATCACTTTTACTGGATGAATAAAATGTGTCAAAATTTGAGCAGCTAGTGAATCATTGTAACAGCCTCCCTAAGTTGTTTGCATAGTCTGCAGGCTTTGGTGGTATTTTTTGACGAGGTCTTCAAGAAAATAAAACAAAAAAATTCATATATATATATATATATATATTGTTGGATACACAAAAATTAGAGGAGACAGACACCAAGGAAATGTAAAAAAAGAAAAAAAAAAAAAATCAAATCAAGCCAAGGAATTATACAGGGGTCAAAATTAAGGTATTAAAAATGATTTTGTGGCTAACGAGTATTTTTCCTTGAATTTTTATAACCCTATTTTTAATTCGGAATTAATTAATGAATGAATTAATTTTTTTTAAAAAAATGGAAAGTCGGAAAGTGGCTTTTTGTTGTTGGCGTTGGCCTATAAAGCAGCAGTACGGCATCATCGTCGTCATCAACCTCTTTTAACTTCTCCTCTCGCAGATCCGATCCCAAAAACTCAAATTCACTCTCCGATTTCTCTCAAATCCGGAAAAAAAAATGGCTTCACCCCGCGAGGAAAACGTCTACATGGCCAAGCTTGCCGAGCAGGCCGAGCGTTACGAGGAAATGGTTGAATTCATGGAGAAAGTCTCCGCCTCCGCCGCCGAAGGGGATGAGCTCTCCGTCGAGGAGCGCAACCTCTTGTCGGTTGCGTACAAGAACGTGATCGGAGCCCGTAGGGCTTCGTGGAGGATCATATCCTCCATTGAGCAGAAGGAGGAGTCCCGTGGCAATGCGGATCACGTCAACGCTATTAAGGAGTACAGGGGAAAGATTGAGACCGAGCTTTCCACTATTTGTGATGGTATCTTGAAGCTTTTGGATACCAAACTGATCCCGGCTGCCGGCGCCGGCGATTCTAAGGTGTTTTATTTGAAGATGAAGGGCGATTATCACAGGTACTTGGCTGAGTTTAAGACCGGGGCTGAGAGGAAAGAGGCTGCCGAGAACACCCTCAACGCCTACAAGGCTGCTCAGGTATATTGTTTGTTAATTGATTGAATATGATGATGTGGTAATTTCATTATTGTCTTCAAGTGTTGCAAATTGGGGATGTTTGACTGTTCACTTTATTCATCAGTGATCTATTTTCTGTTTATGTAAATATGGGATGACAACTTTTTTTTTTTGTGTGTGTGTGGATAGTTTTCTGGATTCATTTCTGTGGATTTTGAATTAGGGAGTTCTTTGCTGGATGTTTGATGTGCATTTAACCACCATTTTTAGTTCTCATTTTGATTGATTCATTTTTGACAGTTCTTGTTTCGTATTTCTGATGGATTAACATGGTTTGATATGGTATTATCGGTAATTACTTTGGTTTATAATTCTGAAACTTGCTGAAGCATAGCGTTTTTTGCACGTGGAAAATTAGGGAACACTACTAGCTAGCTTTTTGAGACAAATACAAATTTGCAAATTATTAGCTGGCGTGTAACTTCCTTTCAAATGGAATGTTTAAAACCTGTCCGTCAAATCTTTTTGAAAGTTACCTAGTGTGATATTGACTTGTTACTTACAGATCTTGTCTTGATAATGATATGTTTTGATTGAATGCGATTCAAAATCTTATTTACACATCTAATTGAGTTTTATGAGATCTAATATTTTGGTTCATGATTCAGAACTCATACGTTTCCCTCTCTTCGATTTGCAGGATATTGCTAATACCGAGTTGGCTCCAACACATCCAATCAGACTTGGATTGGCTCTTAACTTCTCTGTGTTCTACTATGAGATTCTCAACTCCCCTGATCGGGCTTGCAATCTTGCAAAACAGGTGACTATTATGTTATTACTCTTTGAGATGCCTGCCATATTGTGGAAGATGGAGTTGTTTTTGTCCCACTTATATTTATACCTGTGTTTTAGTAGTTTACGCAACTGTCTTCCATAATGTGAAAGATGGAGTTGTTTTTGTCCTGCTTATATTTATACCTGTGTTTTAGTAGTTTACGCAACTCTCTAAGACTAGTCCGTCCTTATAGAACCTCTTTATTTCATTTTGATGGGCATTATATTAAGGGTAAGCTCTAGACTTTATTACTATAGTCTTCACAGGTTTCCTTTGATGTCATATTGAATAAAGTCAATGGATTAAGAAGGTTTGGACATTTGATGTAACTACCTGCCAATTGGAGGTCCTTTTCAAGAATAATCCAATTTGTAATGCTATGCATGTTTCTTGCTTATTGAAGCATGTGAGGTCTAACTTTGTTTTGGTTTCTCGAACAACTTCGACATTTCCAATTCAAAACTGACGGCAAAGCAAAAAATTGCAGCCCTTACTTAGAGTTCGATAATGTGTTGTGCGACTTCACATTCATGCATTTCATTTCGTGGAAAATTTATCATGGTTGGAGTTGGAACCTCTTTGTATGATCATTCATTTTTCTTAAGAAATGACTTGTTTTGTTGTGCATATTTTGCATCATGTCTGATTGGTATCTGGTTTCATCAGGCATTTGATGAAGCTATTGCAGAGCTGGATACCTTGGGAGAAGATTCCTACAAGGATAGCACTCTCATTATGCAACTCCTCCGTGATAACCTAACTTTGTGGACCTCAGACATGCAGGTAGGGCTTCATCACCTCTCCTTAGAAAGGATGCCTACATTTTGATTTTTATAGGCCATAGATGTTCATGTCCCCTGATGTTTTTTAGAGTTCCGGGAATGGCTCATTTATTTGTACACTGTTTTTGTTTCTGTAGGAGGATGGGGCTGACGAAATCAAAGAGGCTTCCAAGAATGAAGATGGGCAGTAGTGATAATGTTTTGAAGCTGCCAATTTAAATTCTGGATTTCAGCTAAAGTAATTTTCTACAGCATTGTTAATTCTCACGGGTTTTAGAGACTTTATTTTTCAGAAGGGTACTGTATAACCTAACTGTAATCTTCTGTGACATGTCCTACATTTTATTTGGAGAATGACAGTGAATATTTTCTGTTTTCTTTTCACTAGATAATCCTCAGATTCTCTGCGTCCTGTGACACTTATCAGATTATGCGTAACCTGTTTTCCAAATTTATCTGCATATTATTTGAATACTCCCTTGTAAGTTCCACAGGAGGAGCTTCTCAATTCTATTGGCGAAAATTTTGTCGCTTGCGTGTTTTCGTGGTTGACTGCTTGATGAGTCATATGCCATATCAATCCACACGACACATGTATGCATAGCCCCCTTTTCATATTTCTGGTTTTGCATCGGGGATGGTCTTTATATACAGTAGTTGCCGGCGGCCTTTATAACTCTGCTCACCGTAGAGTAACGTCACAGTAACGCCACAGAGAGGGTAATTTATCCTATATCCCTGGGGTACCATACTTCCCCTCTTATTTTTTACACTATTAGTCTTTACTACATTTTTTTTTCACTTTTTTAAATAACATCCTATAATTTACATGTTTAATCCTTTTAATTTTTTTTTCTCCCCTTTAAAAAACATCTCTAATATTCAAACGATCATATCTCATGATCCGTAAAAAATTAAAGAACGTGTTATACATGAAAATTATAATACTCGTCGAGATCTATCCAACAAGATCTATGGTCGAATATTTTTTTCGAGTTTAAAAATGACTAAATTTCGATGGCCAGAATAAGATGGATATCTAGTTTAGAAAGATGGATAACCAGTTTAGTTTAGATTAAAATTCTTGTATTGTATATATCTCTTGATCCGTAAAAAATTAGAATACGAATTATACATGAAATGTATAGTGCTCCACGAAATATATCCGATAAGATCCATGTTGAATATTTTTTTTGAACTTTAAATGCATTTAAATTTTACGGGCAGAAATGAAGAAATGTGTTTTTCGTTTTTCTTTGAAAAATGGTTATCCGTTGTGTTCCTACTGATTATCCAACCGGTTTGGACTGATTATCCATTCTGTTTGTACTTGTTATCCAATCATATTTTTGACATTGACTCTTCAAAAAAAAAAAGAAAGAAATTAAAAAATGATTGGATAAGCATTGCAAACAATTTGGATAATCAATAGAAAATAATTGGATAATCAGTGCAACACGTTGGATAATCAGTACAAAAAAGTTTGACAATCATTTTCATAAAAGAGCAAGAAAAAAAAATACTGGATAACCACCACAAGAAGTTGGATAATCAATATGAACACATTGGATATCCAGTTTAAGAAGATGGATAACCAACTTATTTTGAATTAAGAAGTTAGATAATCAATATGAAGTGAATGGATATCCAGTACAAGCGAGTTGGATATCCAGCACAAACAAGTTGGATATGCATACATACCCATTGGATTACAACTACAAAACAAGTTGGATAAGCATATAAACCAAATAGATGGATATCCAGTACAAGTGAGTTGGATATCCATTTCAAACAAGTGGGATATCCATTACAAACAAGTTGGATAGACATACAAACCAAATGTATAAGCAGTACATACAAAATGGATAACCAGTTCAAACTGATTGGATAATCAGCATGAACACAATGGATAACCAATTTAGAACAAGTTGGTTATCCATCTTGTAAAACTGGATATCCACATTTATTCTGTCCATCAAAATTAAGTCATTTTTAAGCCCGGAAAAATATTCACTATGGATCTTGTAGGATAGATCTCGACGAGTACTATAAATTTCATATATAATTCGTTCACAAATTCTTCACGGATTGGGAGATATGCTCGTTGAAATATTAGAGATACTTTTTTTGGAAGAGAGAGAAAAAATGACAGGAACTAAACTTGCAAAATATAGAAAGATTGATAAAAAAAGTACAATAAAGACTAGAAATGCAAAAAATAGGAGGGGATACACGATGCCCCCGGTATACTGGATACAGCCTCCCACAGAGAGTAAGAGTATCATAGATGGGTTGCCTTAGGTTTTTAACCAAACAAATCGAACAACTATATGAATCGATCTTCAAAATTAGTTCCTGGAAATGGGCAGCTGCATAGTTCTTCTTTTGATCCAATTTTTGCAAGCATATGTCGAATTGTTACAGCTTTTAAAATGGGTCAAGCATCACATCTCCTGGAAAAATACCCTGTTTCGTTCCTCAAGAATTGATGGAAGTCAAATTATCCACCAACGATTATCAGGGGATTGTCGGCTTCTCCTGCAAAATCAAGCTCGTTAGTGTACGTCTCGGGTCAAGCTCCGGGCAAACACTCTGATGTCTAAGTTAAAGAGTGTATAGATGAAATGACTAAAAGAAGTAATAGCACTGTAATCTTAACCTGAAGGATGCTATAACAGAATATATATATGCAGATCAAGGATTAAGATCAAGGGTCTATATTCTCCAAGGAGCATGTGCCGTTGGGGTCAAAGCTCCCTTTGTTTGTACTGCTGTCTTTGTCTGACAGGTCTACTTCCTTTGGTCGCTTCCTCTGTCTTCTATACTGGAAATGGTTATAACAGCTCCGAGAAGTCAGTGCGTCGCTTTTCCCTTAGCAACTATAAGTAGTAATTGTGGGTTTCATTATGTCAAGTGGACGACCCGTCTTCAGACCCGTTTCTCATTTGGGTAACCCGATCTTAGTAAAGGTTTGACCCCGGTCTTACTTGATTGGGTCCCATCAATTAGCCCCGCAGTCTAAAGGTGATAATTTGCCTTCGGAACGTTATGTCTGGACTGCAAAAAGCTTCTCTTCTACTCTTCTTAGCCCTTGGCTTGAATAGGTGTTATTATGGTTGTACGAATTTCGAAGCTGTCACTCCAACCGCTTCAAATTTCAAGACCCCAGAGGAAGTAGCCGAAGAAAGCAGACCTGCTGAAAAAAGACAGCAGTACAGACAAAAGGAGCTTTGACCCAACAGCACATGCTCCTTGAAGAATCTAGACCCTTAATCTTAATCCTTGATCTAAATATATCCTGTTATAGCCACCTCCCGTTTAGAATTACAGTGCTATTATTTCTCTTAGTCATTTCATCTATACACTCTAACTTAGGCATTAGAGTGTTTACCACCCGGGACTTACACTGACGAGCTTGGTTTTGCAGGAGAAGTAAACAATCTCCTGATAATCGTTGGTGGATAATTTGACTTCCATAAGGAATCTCGCCTTTGTACATATTAGACGGCAATGTTATACTACTCTGGTTAATTTCCTGGATTGGAGATCATTTTAATTCTCGTTTTCGTCAGTGGTTATTATTATGGTGTAAAAAGACTAAGGTCACGTTATGATCCTCAGTATTTTTACAAACCAATTTTTGATTGGGAAACTTTGGAAAGCTGCTTCGTTATGCCACGTTTTCAAGAGTGAGAGGACCAGCATAAGTTTGGCAACCACCAGTCTACCATAATGGAAGCTTTTGAAGAAATAAATTTGTCCATAATATCAAATTATTTGTGGGTATGGCTCATCTCAATGTGTTTTCACGTACAATATGCATGAATTGGAAACGTCAAAATGTGTATTCTTGACGTTAAATCCAACCGTCCCTTTGATTTAGTAATGCAGCATTCAGGAAATCAGGGATCCAACAACAGAGGAAAGGCCTCCACGTCAAAATGTGACAAATCACCGAAACCGAACTGGATCTTCATAATAGTATCTCTTGTTGAGGTGTTGTAGGAGAAGAGGAAAATTTTGGATGAGTTAGAATCGATTTTGCAGCGCTAAGAGATGTGGGTTTTCTATTTGGTTTCGCTGCCCTTAACCATGGCGCTGGTGGCAATCACGCTTCGTTACTTTGCCGGCCCTGACGTTCCTCGCTACGTCCACTTAACTGTGGGCTACACCTGGTTTTGCTCCATTTCCATCATCATCCTCGTCCCCGCTGATATCTGGGCTGTACGTTCATTTTTTACCTTTTATTAATAAACCCATCTTGGAATGTCTCTACTGTCTAATATCTTCCCGTGTTCGTAAGCTTTGTTTTTGTACCGAAATTGTGTATAATCTTGAACAATGTAAATATTGTCTCTATTGATCCGTTTCAGTCAAGTTTAATGGTTTAGAAGAGTGATAAGATGTAGCATCCTTCAATTTTATGGATACAGCATCTTTGCTATTCTGGTTAGATTTTCACTCAACATTATTGATTTATGTCTGAACATCTCCATTGGCATGTTACACAGGCTTTTGTAGGTCATGACAAAGGTGGAATTTCCTTTTTCTGGAGCTGGTCTTACTGGAGTACGTTTTTGCTCACCTGGTATGCTGGTTTCTTCACTCATTTTACAATGGTGGTTATCATATTCCTTAACTTGTAAAAACTGGCAACAATCATGTACTAATATCTTTAATAACTAAATCAAACATTCCATCCAAGTGTGTCATTGCAGTTCCCTGTCTTCTCAGCACTACCACACCATCTTCACTGCTTCGTGAGTGAAAAACTGAAAGTTTCATGCAAATGACATAGCTGTTCACTCGTTTTCCTCAGCAGCTTGATAATTTTCTCTTACATTTTATTCAGTGTTGTTTAGAATTTCTGTTGGAGGTATAGTAAAAAATGAACATATTCTCATAGATTTCATATATGCAACCATTTCCTTAAGCAGGGCTGTGGTGCCTGTAATTCAGGGTTATGAAGATGCTGGAGACTTCACTGTTTCAGAAAGATTGAAGACCAGTGCTCATGTAAACTTGGTCTACTACTTGATTGTGGGTTCTATTGCATTCTGTGGAGTTATATTGCTCATTGTTTTGCGTAAAAACTGGTGTGTGTCTCACTCTTGGAAAACTTAATGCCAGCATCGTGTTTTTTTTGGCATATTGCTTCTGTTTTTCACTCACTTTTAGCTACACCTGAAATCATTGTCCTTGATTTACAAAAAAACTGCTTGATGTTCTTAATGTGTCGACGGTTCCACTCAAGTTCAATCAGTTGGTGCTTTTGTATTGTGTCTTGTCTTGTGTGAAGAAAAGAAAGGGGCATATGATTTATCTGAAAAACAAAAAGCACCAACTGGCACATATAGAGACTAAACTGCTAGTGGCACTTTTATCCTACTCCCATTATCCCAACAAAGAATAGTCTACATTGAGTTTGAGATTTGCGAAATTTGGACTGTGTTTTTGGGGCAGATGTAGTAGTTTATCTTGTTCTAGCTGCATGACCTTGAGGATACATCAGACTTAAGCAAGTGGTTTAAAGTTGTTTGTCGTTGCAGGACTGGAAGTATTCTTGGTTTTGCTATGGCTTGCTCCAACACATTTGGCCTTGTAACTGGTGCTTTTCTTCTTGGCTTTGCTTTAAGTGAAATACCAAGGGGTATTTGGAGAGATGCTGATTGGACCACTCGTCGAAAGGTTCTTTCTCATAAAGTGGCTAAAATGGCTGTTAAACTCGATGATGCTCATCAAGATTTTTCGAATGCCATTGTTGTAAGTGGTTCCTCTCAATATGTTCACCTAGTATTTTTCTCTCTTTTACTTTTTCCAATTCACCTCAAATCAACATATCCGACACCCTGGAATTAATTACAATCACCATATCTTTTACTGTTGTAATCGGTAAGTTCAAAGAACATAAAGCTCTGGGATGAAACTGTAGCCTGCAGTTAATGACTCTCTAAATCCCAATTTTAGCATCTAATAGCGTTGTTATCTAATAGCGTTGGATCATAAGTCTCTATTCACAGCTTGATGAAGATCCCTCTTTCAAACCCCAAGGTGGAAGATTTGGTGAGAATGATATGGACTATGATACTGATAACAAAACAATGGCAGCACTGAGGCGTCATCTTAAAAGAACTCGAGAGCAGTACTACCAGTACAGGAGGTTCATTAATTCTACAACTACGAAACCATCCTTAATGTTTGTCTAATTTGGCATATTTACTATTATTCACATTAGCTGGCTTACTTCCAATCAATATCTTTGCTGGACTTTCGTACATTTATGAGATAAAACTAACATACAATTTCTTTCTTCCACAGTGAGTATGTGAAATTTGTCACAGAAGCGATTGAGTTGGAAGATACCATAAAGAGTTATGAGCACCCCAGTGCCACCGGATGGTTTGCTTCGCTTCAGCCTGTTTCCCTTTCTAATAATGTTATAAATATCTGGTTTGCAGTTGTTTGGTTATTTCACACCAGACTGAGAAGATACCAAAAATATTTATTGCTTTCTTTCACTACAGTGTTCTTTACTGCAAGAGTAACAACTTTATCACGAGGCCTTTTTCCCCTTGAAGTAAAGTAACAACTTTATCACGAGGCTTGTTCCCCCTTTTTTGCTTTTCATTTTTATTTTATCCATGGCTTCTGCAGGAAATATGTTTCAAGCTTTCGGTCTGAAAGAAGTGGCAAACTAGGGTCTGTTTTCGATGTGGTTGGTAAGTTCTAGATTCAATGCTAAAATCTCATGCAGCCATGCTAGTACCGTTTACATTAGAAATTGATGAGAGATATAATTTTCAAACATCACGGTGAAGCTTAGTAATTTGAACCCGGAAAAACAACAAAAAAAAGATGTATTGAGAACTTAGTGATTTGGACAGTAATTTGCAGGCTATTGTTGGACGATAAGCTTCTTTGAAACAACAAGGTGAAGTTTTTGTTGCTGGACCAAACAGTCTCTTCCTGTTATGCTTCCAGAATCAGACAAGTTTCTTATGTTACACTTCCACTACAACTTTTAGTTGATTGGGTCCATCATGATTGCAGAGTTGGTTTGGCGCTCTATACTCAGAAAACAGCTGCAGAGATTTCTAGCTTTGGTGTTGGGTTCCATGTCAGCCGCAATTCTTCTAGCTGAGGCAACTATACTTCCTAAGGGTGTTGATTTATCTCTATTCTCACTGCTGATAAATGCTGTGCAAAAACATGAGGTGCTAGTGCAGGTAGACTTTCCTTTTTTCCGATTCTCCGCTCTTATTTGCATTTTTATCTGGATTGTGGCGATTATTCCGTCCATACTCAGTAGTAGCCTAAGAACTGCATGAATAACCGTAAGGCACATGTGCCAGTTCCTTTTCTTCCCTTTGTATCCATTATCCAACTGATCTCCCTGCACTTTGTCTTGCCGTTTGATTTTCATCTTGTGCCAGGCAGCTGCTTTTGTTCCATTGTTGTACATGTGCATTTGCACATATTATTCTCTGTTCAAGATTGGAATGTTGACTTTTTACTCTCTTACACCAAGGCAAACAAGCTCAGTCAGCTTGCTTATGATATGCTCGTAAGTTTCTACTTTGACATAGAGAAATCTTGTATGAAGCGACATACTTATTCCCTATCTTAGTGTTAACTGTAATATTATTGCAGGATGGTTGCTCGCTATGCTCCACCAATCTCTTATAATTTCCTCAACCTTATTCAGCTAAACAATGGTGCAAAGACCATCTTCGAGAAGGTAATTCCCTGATAAAACAATTGATATGCTTTGAAGGAGCCTAATTGCGTCTTGCATCAACGTCAAACGCACCAGCAGCAAAGTCGAGAAGTATGAACCTCCGAAGGCAATGCCTTTTATTTTCAAGGAGCAAAAGAGCCGAAAGTGTTCGTCTAGCTTTCTAAGTTATCCTGCACTTGCAACAGCAGAAAATAATCTGTTGTTCCATTTCTATTTTCAGAGGATGGGAAACATAGATGATGCTGTCCCTTTCTTTGGAAAAGGATTCAACAAGATTTATCCATTAATAATGGTCATATACACCATATTGATAGCAAGCAACTTTTTTGATCGAATGCTCAATTATTTTGGCAACTGGAAAATATTCAGATACCAGAATGAGGAAGCGGATGATCCAGATGGGTTTGATCCTTCTGGATTAATTATTTTGCAGAGAGGTGAATGGAATGAATCCTTTCTTTTAATGGTCTTCTTTCCGAGGATGCCATTGTTGTTATTGAGGATTTAATCAACCATATGTAGATTAGAGGAAAACCATGAAGTTGGTTCAGAAAAACTCAGTTGAGTCAGTTGATCTACTCTACTAAGGAAAAGGTGGATCTGTTCAGTCAAGTCTCATGACTAATAAAGTTTTTTCGCGTTCATTCACAGAACGGTCTTGGATTGAACAAGGGCATAAAGTTGGTGAACTTGTCATTCCATTAGCTAGAAGTTTCAGCAATACAAGCATAGATCTTGAGTCTGGCTCCAGCCACAAGGTATGCAAAATTCATCACAGTGGAAAGAACTGAATCAATTTGTAAACTTGAATTATTTTTCGCTTTCAATCATTATTGTTTTTGGCATGCACAAAACAAGATCTTTGGAGCATGGTACTAATCAATGTCATTATACATGGATAAGGTGTCCGGCTCCTATGAGGAGAAAACTTCATCCAGCTTGAAGCCAGGGGCACGACATGACTCGAGCAAGAAGTATACAGCCATAAGGGGGAAAGAAATCAATCTCAATAGAGAATCTGGTTTGCCTTCACCTGACGAAGAATATTCGCAAAGTCAGGATGATGAACCATCTTCTGGAGCATCCACTTGGCAATCAGTGAAGATGGGCTTCCGCAATTTCAAGAACAATATTGATGCGAAAAAGTTCATGCCATTACGGCAAGTTCAAGGTACAAGACACTCGCAGGTTTCCTCCTCTGAATCCCTGGACGAAATATTTGCGAGGATAAAACGGCCTATTTTAGACCATAGGAATTTTGATGGTGAAGGAGATGAGCTGTATTGATCCTTGGTCATTGTGAAATCGAGATTCAGAATGCCGGGACTGAACATATGATCAGAATGCAGATCTGAGCTCTCTAAATGGAGCTTACAAAAGAGCTTTGTGAGATTTTGTCAATTGTCACAATAGAGAAACATAAAACGCCCAATGAACTGATTTCTCAATGCCTCACATTTGATTGAAGTCTTGCTTACTTCTTTGCATCATTTTTACTGTTGTCTTAATTGTTTCCAAGTCTCAAATTCCTGAAGTCTAACTGTCATTCTTGTTATCATTTTGTTTATTGTTTTGATTGTTTAGCCGACACTATGTTCTGCAATGTCACTTTAACACTAAAGAAACATGTAGGAAAAAGCTCATGTCATTTCTGTCCTCGTCTTTATTTGATAATTCAGCTTCGAATACACCCCTAATCACCACTACATTATATAAATATAATGACATCACCACCACAAGTTCTTTACGAAAAGTAGTAAACATATATATATCTTGACATAGAGTTATTTAGGTTGCGAAGCAAGTCGTGGTCCTAAACCAAGTGCACAGATAATCTAAAGCAAGTTTAGGTACTGTTTTCTCCACCATTTAGAAATGGAAGTAGCCAATGGAAGAAGCCAAATCTGGTCTCCCCATTCAATCTCTGCCTCCCATACTCCTCCAACATATTCCAAAGTTCTCCTACCGTCCACTCGTGGGACAAGATCCATTCTGTCACCTGCTCAACATTACCAAAGAAAGCCTGAAGATGAACATTTTTCCCACACAAAAAAAAAAAAGGAAGAAAAGGAAATAGTTTCCTGATAAGCCTACATGACAAGGAAGTGCAATCAACAAAAAACAAAAATAGTGAAGCAGGCATATTTAGCTCCAAAAGTCTAACAATGAGTGAAGCCACATACAAATGTACAAAAAAACATTCAAAAAAAAATATACGTATGCAACTTGGCAATATACAAGAGACTTTTCAAGCAAATAAAAATTATCACTCAAAAAATGGATTTATAATCCTAACCCTTGCATAGGCAAATAACATTATTTAGAAATATTCAATTTGAATTGGTATTTCTTCTGTCAAAATAATTGCTGTTATGAAGAGTAAGGCCAACAACATTGCAAAAGTAAATATATTAGTGGTGAATGGAGTGTTTATTCTACCAACGCAAGTTCCTTGAGGTGTAAGAAGGCAAAACATCAGTAAGTACAAGGGTTACACGATCTAGGTGCATCAACGATTCAAACATTATATCCTGAGAAAGGTGTTCACAAGGTAACCCTTCATTTGAGCTACTATTCAAAGAGCTAATACGCAAGAAAGATTTTACTTCGATTAGTTACTAAAGAACAGATCCACCTCATGTACAATTTGCCAGAAGCAGCAATAAGAAATGGACAAATTTCGCACAAACATTAATAGGTGTGAAATACCTGGTCCAACACCTTCATTGCTTCCGAACCAAATGTGTGGTATGAAATGAAAGGTCTTAATGCCTGCAGAATGTAACAGACACAGGTTACGAACAATGTAGAAAAGCAGAAAAAAAGAACATTAAGCACGCCGAGTAACTAATTTTACATTTTTATGAACTAATCCACCCCAAAAACGCCTAAGAAGCAAAATAAAGAGGCATTTTAGATAATTACACAATTCTATTCATGCTCAACTAGCCATATATTAACTATACCCAAGTCCTAGGTGACAGCTACCTGACCACGAAAAAATTAGAAAAAAATGGCACAACGATAAGGAAACTAAACATACTGAATGCTACAGAAGAATAAGACCAACCTGAGAAGCAGCCAGCCACTGGATCATAGCTTTAACTTCGGGGTCTCCCCCAAAGGCACCACAACCCCAATTCCCTGTGGCAACCCCAATTTTTTCTTGATTTGGTAAAGCCTGACAATTGTTTGTTTCATGGCAACCTGTCAGCTCATTGCTTATAGCTCCCTCAGTCACTTGAGATGAACTTGAGAAGCCTGCAAGAGGCTGCAATGAATAAATAAGATGGAATGTCAGGTAAAGATATATATTTAATGGGCTTTTCATCTCATAAAGCATACTCACTGACATCAATGCATATAAAGTTACTCCCCCGAAGGTAAGTCACAAAAGAAAGATCCAAGCAAAGATAGGTAGGAACTCTTACCATGCTATGATTAATCACTCTTTCATTCAGCTTCTTGACACCAAAGTCAACCTCCGATTCCAAATGATCATTATCCTTGAACGGTTCCTGATACTGTTGACCTTTGCTTTGATAGGAAAATCCACAAAATGCCTTATTAATCTCCCTGAAAAACCGAAATAGTTTGGTGATTAGAGAAGTTACAACAGATTGTAGTTCAGAGCACCATAAAAAGAGGATGATCAGAAAAATAGAGGATGCAGAAAAGGCAAGGAAGCAAAATGTTGCACCTGAGAAGGCATTCAGATCCGTATTGTTTCCTTCCAGGATGACATAGCGCGTCTACAGCAATAATTCTTGTCTTTAGCCTCCCAATGGAATCAGCATCCTTACGGTCAACATAGTCACCGCAAAACCGGAATGTTGAAGCATATCTGGAACATTTATGCACAACCCAAGATTATTTATGTTCTTCTATACACAACAACCAAGTCGCTATAAATCATATGTTGGCAGCACGTTCACCTAAGCTTATATTTCAGGCCTCACCATCTTTTAGTTTGATTTAATCATTCTGTTTAAACATACTCATGCATCTCTCTCAGATACAAGTTTAGACCACCTTATATATCTCTCATCTTTTTGCATTAGCACAGTTTCAGTTCTGATGCATTTCTTACAAGTTCTACAAGAAGCATTTAATCTATATATAGAGAGGTTCTAAGAGAGAACAACAAAAGGTTATCATGCTTTTCTGATGGATAAGTTGGATTGGATGCTGCGGACCAATATGATAATGAAAAGTAACACAAACTTGACAACATTTCTCCAAAAAGGTTTCAAAATACACAAAACATTTCTAATTGAATTCTAAGAACTTACCAGCTACTTTCTAATTGGAGCCTTTTAATGTTCAAAGTTAAAGTAGTTTTTAGTATTGGTTTAAAACATAACCATGCAAATTGCAAAGGTGAGTTCCATACAAACCATGAAAACTCAATGCAAAAGGGAAAATGAGCTTGCAACCATGAAAACTCACCCTGAATAACTGGAAAACCTTTCAGTACCAACAATTTCAATGGCTTCATTGTCTGCCATAGCAGGCAAGAAAAGCATGCCTGTGATCAATTCTGGATTAATCATAAAACGGATCTCCTCCTAAAATGTAAAATAAATAAGGAACCAAGTTATAAAAAAACTTCAAAATAACAGATTTGAACAGATGACAATCAGCATACATTATATATGAATAAAAATCGCAGGGTTGTGGGTTAGATGATATCCCAGGTAACATCCAAACTGAAAATGCTACCTGGGTGCCAGGAGTAGCATGTACGAGCTCTTTTTCGTTATTATAATGAAGAAATTTAATGTTGATAATGCATGAAATTCAACTTCAAGACAAAACCAAACCACACCCATATTCAGTACCATTATCAGTTACATCCACAAACTTGAATTGACTTCTAGAAAGATAATATTTAGGTTTTACGAATAGAATACAACCATAAGTATATTTCATAACAGAATAAAATTTGAAAAGTCAATAACAAGATGCAGCCCTGGGGCTGCACTAAACGTCGTAGACAAGTAAAGAGATATTAAAAACTACTTCATTCATGCAAATGAAGGCTTTATTTTCTAAAGATATTTTAGATGGCAAAAATTTGCATCGAGAAGGAAGAGTTATTAGAGCTCTTTAAAAGAAGAACTAAACCTGTACACAGCCCCGGTGAAGAGCACCACCACCTAAATACTCATTTGCAAAGTCAACTTCCAAAGCTTCACCTGACTGATCCTCAATCAACCCAAAACTACGCACCTACAAGACAAACAAGAGCCAGGATGATAAGTTCCTTAGAAGCAAATTTTCAAGAAATGTGTAACAACGCTTAAAACTATCGGAATCTACTGCAGGGGCAGCTTGGCGCACATCAACTCCTGTACGTGCAGGGTATGGAAAAAATTCAAGCCATTAAAGCCCCATCCCAAGTAAACTTAACTCGTATTCTTGTAGGATGCTGTTACCATGACCCAAACCGACAACATATCTTACAACTTCGCTAAGAATTCCCTTTATTAACCAAGTTTTACTACACTAGAAGTATTTCCATTCAATAGGAACAACAAGAAGCCCATTAAAGAATAGCTTTGTGTAAGTAGACAAATGAAATCTGTAGTCATATAGTTACACGCAACTCCGTTCTTTAGGGGAGTGATTTGCTACCTTAAAAGAGCAGAGCGTCACAGCAGATTTGCTCCACAAATCGGAATTGGGATAAGAAATGCCATTAGCTTTCGGGTCGAAAGGAAGAACTTTCCTCTCAAATGAGACATTGCCCAAAGGCATGCATGAGCATACCCTCTCAAAGTAGTGAATGATGCACTTTATTTTGTTTTCCTGATTCGTCGCGTAATTCTCATATAGACACCTGAAAAACACGTAAAAACCAGATCAAACTACTTTCTGACTTCATAGAAGATTGATAAGAGAAACTATATTAAGTTCTTTCTATGGGGAGTTATGAATTCGCATATCACAACCGAGCCCTCCATCTCTCTGACCTCGCTCCCTTTCCCTCACTGCCACCTCACTGTTTGATAAAGTAACTTACAGACAAACTAATTATAACTAACCACTAAATTACAACAAAGCACAAACAGGAAATCTGACATAAATATCTTTTCTAGTCTTAATTATTATCAGAGCTAAACCTTAACAAGGCGAATTCTCATCCACATTAAACCTAGCTAGCCAAGAACTCAGTACGAAAGCGATACAATGTGGTAATCAGGAATCCCAAGAATATCTTCACCAATTCCTTAAATAGGTTCTCATTCTAGAAGAAAGAGAGGATGCAGGAAAAACGAATAGAACGAATCTAGCAAAAGTAAAGTGAGTATCGTGAAACATCAACAGCAAGTTCGGCATTAAGGAAAAAAAAAAACAGGTAGATGAGCCATATAACATACGCAAATAAATGGTGAAAGTTGATGGTTGGAAGAAATTTGGCACCTCTATTACCAGCAGGAAACAGAGATAAGAATGAGCAGGAAAGCAGGGCAGCAATCAACTCCTGAAAAATACATTGTAAAAAAACCAGAAAATCAACATAATTAGATTCCCAACAACACTTTCACCAACAAAACATGCATTGCTTAAGGCAGTAAAAAATTGACCTACCCGACTAAGAAGCACAATCCCAGGTTGCTGCGATTCCAACAAACGGAGACAGGTGTTTCCAAAAACACTGGAATTGCGGGCCTCCTGATAATGGGACTCCAACAGGGATGGCAGATTTAGAAGCAAAGCAGCCATCTTTGGAAGAGTAACCTCAAACCACCTTGCGGATTCATCCCTAGGCATCAACTGAACACAGAAAAAAAATGCAGTTTAACGGGAATGGACAAATTACCAATAATAATCCACTTAAAGCGAGGACAAAAATAAATAAGCTACTATGATGTACTAACGTCGTCGAAGAAGAGGGCGTAGCCCTCGAGAGCGGAGGTGGAAATGGATCTGGAAGAATAGTTGAGTGAGTTGCGGATGTCGGAAATGGCAAGGGAGAGTAATTGACCGGAGTTGACGTTGCTTTGGCCAGGTCCTTGAGAGAGAGCTTTAAGGGCTTCCACAACCTGGGGTGGCCAGAAGAGGGAAGATGATCGGAGATGCAGAGGCAAATATGGAAGTATTGACTTCAAGTCTGGGTTGGAAGAGAGACTCTTCTCTTCCATCGTGGCAAAATGCTCCGCCGCTGCCGGTGGTTGTTTGGTGGCGGGGATAATATAGTCCTTGGCCGTGAAACAACAGTTACTTAACCAATACATATTTACTGCGTTTAATAGTATATTGTTTGATCTGAAGAAATTACTACCACTGCAGTACTACTTGCTCTTTTCTCCTCAACCAATTAACATATTTGATCTGAAATTTAACAATAATAATACCATTTGATTTTGTCAAAATATATATATATATATATGCCATTTGATCAACACGTTAGATATTGGCTAAGTCAAATTTTTATGCAAGTATTAGAATTGGATGAATTTCAGTCCATTTTTAGGTTTGACCGACTTGTTCAAATGTTTACAATTGAAAGCTTTGAATAAATCATAGAGATATGGTACCGAATTTGCTCAACGTACGTAGGCATAATTAATTACCATTGTTTGCTGATTTGTGAATGTAGTACTATTTGGTTTTGAGGTTTTTTTTATGGAAGAACAAATGTGGTAAAAGTAACCTCTGTGCCAACTTTGTATAATTTCTCCCGAACCTCTCTAATACATGGGGCAATTTGCCTACAAAATGCACTTTGTCTAAAGTGGAACAAACTTGTAATTGATGGAAGGACGCATTGGCAATTTCGCTAACAAGATTTCTATTAAATTAAGGACAAACAAAAAAAATTGTGAAAAGTGGTGTTGAGTCGCAAAATAAAAAATACTTTGAATGGACAATATTACCTTTATAATTTCTTACATAAATTATTAAAAAAAAAAATATGAAAGCTTAAATCTTTTGTGTGATGGAATAACCATGCAATCACTCCAATTTTGAAGCTTAGGCAAAATATAGGGAAAAAAGGGATCGCTTCACGGTGTTAATAAACTCTACTAATCTTCTTCGTCCAACCCTTTTTTCTGCCTGTTCTTCACCCCTTTTTATCATAATATTACATCTCCAAACATGGTAATTTGTGAAATTGTTTCCATTTAAGTAATACTATAACCACAAAAAAAAAAAACAAAAAAAAAGGACAGCGTGTTGAAGTGGCAGGAATGGATTTTTTGCAGCTAGTGGGTACAGATTGCGGAAAGCACATGGTGCTCAAGTTTTTTAACTATAGTCACGGTAATTTTCATGTTTTTTTATTAACTTTTACGTGTAAAAAATTATAAGGGTGATATTGTTCCTTCAAAATTTATTCTATTTTGAGATTTTTCATAAATAAATTACTGTCCTTTATAGGAGTATAAAATATTTTTTGGTCATACTCCTTTTATTAATTTAACCTCTTCTGCCGTTCTTTAGTCAAATTCTTCCAGAGTACTTAACCAATACGTATTTACTGCGTTTAATACTATGACCACAAAGAAATTACTGCTACTTGCTCTTTTCTCCTCAATTTATTAACACATTTGATCTGAAATTTTTAACAACAATACCATTTTATCCCACTTCAAGGAAACACACACACACACACACACACACTTTATCAGCACATTAAGAATATGGCTACGTCAAATTTTTCTGCAATATTAAAATTCGATGAATTTCAGTCTAAATTTGATTGGGTGTGTCAGGCTTGAGGATCACTGAGGTTTGACCGACTTGTTCAAATGTGTACAAATTGAAGGCTTGAAGCCTTGAATGTATATCAGAGTTAATCGGACGGGTTTGTTCAACTTAATTAGGCGTAATAAATTACCAATTGTTTGTTGAGTACGTGGTCATTGTAAGAGTAATTGTTTTGAGGTGTTTGAGGGAGAACAAATGTGTAAAAAATAACCTCATGTGTGGCAATTAGATCATCATATGATTGATATACTGTATTTATCATCGTAAGAAACTAATGGAGGAATTAATGTGGTGCGAGAGGAAATCTGAAATTGTTATAGACAACTGTTTTTGTCGATGAAAATAAGTAAACTAATATTACTGGATAACATGCTCCGTAATTTCTCTCAAACGTTTCTAAAAAAATAGTAGTATAAAAGGGGGCAACTTTGCTAATAAAAACTCTATTAATTACTCTTTTGAAAGGAAAAAAATGTGGAAAAAGTGTAAAATTCCGCCATTTCCCCCCAACCAAATAGTCAGCCCACCATTATTCGGAAGCTAGCTACACATCCGGTGGCGAAAAACAGACATGGACGGGATCCTTCCTCGGACCTCACATCTGATTTCAGGCAAGAGGGTTTTTATAAAACGGTTGGAAAAAACAATAGCAAGGAATTGTAGGAAGCTTGAATAATGCAGTCCGATCCCAACTCATTGGGGATGCCGGATCTGATTGACGGGAAAATTGAAGAGAATGGTGGGTTATAATATGTTGTGTGTTATTCAGATTAAATGAAGACTACAGACGCACAGTTTCAGTTATAAGTTGTTGTAACAATGTTGGCATCGCTTAATTATATAGTAACAATGGAGGTGGTTGTTAGTTGGGGGAAAGCTTATATGGGAGGAGAATTTATTGAACACTGACATGAGTTATTGTATACGGAGGATTAGTTCCGCAATGATGGCATTACTGGGTTACAGGTGGAAGTTGTGTATTAGTGGGGGAAACTAATGTGACCAATTGAAATTTATTGAAAGCTGAAACGTTTGAGAATTAATAATGGCTAAGCAGAATGTGACAGAGACTTCTTCCTCTCTAAATGCAAACATTGAGAGACCATCAATTAGGTTGGGGAGAGAAGTACCATTATAGCTGAATAGTAGTAAGTGTTTAAATGGTGAGGCGGAAAATAGAATAAAATCAAGAGATCAAAGGACTAATAGTCTAATATCCCTGACCTTCCCTATGAAGACAAAAAATCAGAACTTTCATTACAGCCATGAGCTCTAGCCTCATTTCTACTGTATTATGTTTATAGAAGTTCACTCCTTTTCAATTACTCCCTCCGTCCCATAATTATTGTCCAGTTTGAGTTTTCATTTCTAATTCAAAATGAACTATAAGTGAAATCTCAAACTGAACAATAATTTTGGGACTGAGGGAGTACAAAGGAAGTTTATCATTTCCAAGCGTCTATAAATTCAAAACACTCCATAATAAAAATTGTACTCTTCCGACTCATAATTAATGTTCAGTTTGGATTTTCATTTTCAGTTCACATTATACTAGAATTGAAAATGTAAATTGGACAATAATTTTAGGATAGAAAGAGTAAAACATAGGAAATGAAACTATAATAATAAAACTACTTCCCTAAAAACAACATTATATAATACAAAAAAAACGAAAGTAAAATAAAGTGTCGACCAGAAAAAATACAAAAAAATATCCGGCAAATCCAATACATGTAAAGCAAACATTCTGGAATCTGGACTAATGAGCCCAAATGTTTTCCCCGCCAAAAAGCCCATTAAAGTGGACATGACTTTTCCCGCCTTTTTGCTGCACTTTCCGGCCACCCATCCACCATCCCCGTCGTTCTCCCCTCCGCCCCAACCAGCTTCGCATTGCTGAATTACGATAAAAAATTTTGAGAATCGGAGCTTAAAATTAAACATCATGGAAAGTGAAGGATCCTTCAAAAAAGATATGGCCGGCTTCTTGATTAAGTATCATACGGAACAGCTGCGCTCCATTATTCTTTCTCCTGACCTCCGCCTTCATTACCCTCTTATTGTTGAGTATGTCCTTTTTCCCCATGCTGAACTGAAATTCCATGATTCTGGAAAATTCATTTTCATTATTATTGTTGATTTAACCCAAAAACAATTTCTGAGGTTTTTTTTTGGGACAGTTTTGCGGAGTTTCTGGATGACAATCCAAACCTTGCTAATCTCATTTTCTCTCATCCGACTGAGTATTTGCCATTATTTGATGAATCAGCGATCTGGGCCCAGGTATACTTTGTTTATTTCTTTGGATAAAGAGAACATGTTTGTGTGAAAAGGGGGTTTGATTGAGTATGTTCTGTTATTCCCCAATTGATTTTATCTGCAATGATGCAGAAAGTGATGTTTGAGGATTTGAAGAAAATGGAGAATGCAAGTGTCAAAGTATACGTGCATGTTAGGATTGATGTTAGTGGTTCTCCTCTAGAATGCACTGGTTAGTGTTCTTGTGTTTTGGAAGTTTCTTATGCTTTAACTCCATTCCATATGTTTGGTCTGATTTCGCCGAGGGTCTGCAGAAACTTTTCCTAGTATTGGACGGATTAGAGTGAAGCATCGTGGCATCCTTCTCACCCTTAAAGGGACCGTAATCAGGTCTGGAGCAGTTAAGATGATTGAAGGAGAAAAGCTTTATGAATGTCGTAGTTGTAAACACAGGTTGGTGTGTGTTTCTTTAGCTATTACAATTTTTCTGCACTTTCTTGTCATGCCTTGATGGTATAATGATAAGAGAGAGTTTTTAGTATCAGTAAATTACAGGATTGATTCATACTTTAACTGGAAAGCTTCTTTTTCTTGCAATCTTGCTCCAACTTCTTGCATCAGTAAAACTATCACACTGATCACCAGTCATTTTGCAGGTTCAAAGTTCATCCAGAAGTGGAAGCTAGAAATGCAATACCCAAACCGACAATCTGCCCTTCAAAGGTTTGTTTTTTTCCTTTTATCTAGTCCTATCTTTTTTGCTTTTGTTATCAAGTACTTTAACCATTCAGGAGACTTAATTACAAGTTTTCATGTTTCTAAAAAAAGTATCTGTCACACTGTCTTCCAGTTGTACATCTTCTCCCTTTTACGCAAGAAATTTCAACATTTTGTGATTTTTTTCCAATAGAACCACTCAATCTACTTTTATGACAGGGCCCCAAGTTCTGTCAGAGCACCAGGTTCAATCTTCTAGAAGACAGCAACATCTGTCATGATTATCAGGAGATCAAAATCCAAGAGAACACTCAAGTATTAGGCGTTGGGGCCATTCCACGTTCAATTCCAGTCATTTTGAGGGATGATTTAGTTGACATGGTGAAAGCTGGAGGTACCTAGTCAAGAGTTTTTTGAACTTTCTAATTTTTTTATGGTGATGTTACATTGCAGTCTCCCTATCGTGTAGGTGCATTGACTTTTTTCTCTTTCTTTGGTTGGAAAACTGAATTTGTTCATGCCGTTGTGCATTTCGCTTTTCAGATGGTTTAACACACCTTTTAATGTGATTTTAGATGATGTCATAGTCACTGGGATCTTGACTGCAAAGTGGTCCTCATGTGTAAAGGATGTTCGCTGTGACCTTGATCCTGTTGTTGTTGCAAATTATGTAAGGTAATTGCTTCGGTTCTTTGATTATCCTTTACACTTTTGTTGTAATGTGATATACCTAATAATTTTATTGGGCTACAACATTGTCTACCTTCAAAAAGATATTTCATGCTTGTTTTCTTGCTCGCAGCATGATGTACTGTTGATGTATCTGAAAAATTGTACTAACTTAATGGGTAATAAAATCTGAGCTAGAATTGTGAATTTAACCAAGTGCATTTTAGTCTGTGACATCATTTACATATATAGATAATTCCTCTGTCCCAAAATGATTGTCCAGTTTGGATTTTCATTTTTAGAACAGTTTGTACTAAAAGTGAAAACCTAAATCGGACAATCATTTCAGGACAAAGGGAGTGTGTTACATGGATACTTCTGTGTTCTTTAGTAAAGACATTAGAAGAGTCAACTACATCATTTTAAGAATTTGTTATTTGATAATGGATTGATGATGACTGCTTGTAGCTGCAACTGGTAAATGAGAGTATTTATATCCTCAAACGAAGGCAACATTTTCTACTGATACCTGGATATGAGTATAATTCCAGAACGGTTGTTTTTATCATGCTATCCTTTGATAATATCGGTGCTGAAAACTCTGATATCCGCTTCCACCAGCTATGAGATTATTGTGTATCGCTGTTTAATATTATTGGAATTTTCTTATCAACGCACTGCATAGCATGGATCAGTCTTCTCATCTTTCTGCGTACAGGCGAATGAATGATCTGAAGATGGGTATAGATATTCCAGATGATGTAATTCTGGAATTCAATAAATTTTGGGCAGGATTTAAGGATAACCCTTTGAAAGGTTATGATTTTCCTTGTATATTGTGGTCTATATGGGATTTCTTCTCTAAAAATGGTAAGTGGCATGGTTTTTATCATTTCACCCGCCCAATGATTTTCCAGGTAGGAATGCCATCCTACGGGGTATCTGTCCACAGGTTTTTGGGCTCTTCACCGTAAAGCTTGCAGGTATGTGCTACTTGTTGAGGTACTCTTAATTTTTAGAAATTTTTGAAGCTAGAATTACTGGACAAATGAGATCTAGCTCATCAAAAATGAGGGAAAAGATGTCGAGTTATTGTATATTTGCTGAGTGACTTCATCTTTTTCTATTAATCTTAATGCAGTTGCATTGACGCTTATTGGAGGGGTCCAACATGTAGATGCCTCTGGAACAAAAGTGAGAGGAGAGTCACATTTGCTTTTGGTTGGGGATCCTGGTAATTGTTATCTAAAACCTTCCGTATGCCCAAGATCTCCAATATGTAATCTTGCAATGGAGTATAGTGTATGGAGCTTGAGATTTCATCTAGTTGTTTGCTAGCACTAGATGAAGGCATAACTATCTGATCTACTAGGTACCGGAAAGTCTCAATTCTTAAAATTTGCTGCGAAATTAAGCAACAGATCTGTTATCACAACTGGATTGGGAAGCACAAGTGCTGGATTGACTGTTACTGCAGTCAAGGATGGAGGTACTTTTCAACAATCTGCCGTTTCAGCAAATTACTTCATGATGATCTGAACAATTTTTCTGCCATCTACTACAGCTTTCAAGTTCTCTCTTCTGGATCTTTTTCCTGGGCTGAATAGACTGTGTGGAATTTCAGGTGAGTGGATGCTGGAAGCTGGTGCCCTGGTTTTAGCAGATGGTGGACTTTGTTGCATAGATGAGTTTGATAGGCAAGTAACTTATGCATTAATCATGCCTACCAGCTATTGCACCACATCCTTCTAAAGATCATGTTTGAACAACCCTTTTGTAGCATGAGGAGCCATGACCGGGCAACTATTCATGAAGCAATGGAGCAACAGACTATAAGTGTTGCCAAGGTATGGAATCTTGTAAATCCAATGCTTCTAATGATGTCTTCTTATTTTCTTTTCTTTTTTTTTTTTTTAATCAATTTCCTCCAAACTAATACCAAGAGCACTGAAATCTTCAGGCTGGTCTAGTAACGACACTCAATACGAGGACTATTGTTTTTGGGGCGACAAACCCAAAAGGACAATATGATCCCGAAGAATGTATCCTTTCTTGTTATGCATAAATTTACCTGTAATGGTTTTTGTTTTAATGTTATTTTTTGGCTGTCTTCCTGTTAAAGTTGTGTTCCTCAGTTTGAGCTAGCTCTTTCTGTCAATACAACACTCTCAGGACCCTTGCTGAGCAGGTTTGACATAGTTTTAGTTCTCTTGGATACAAAGAACCCAGATTGGGACGCAGTTGTTTCATCCCATATCCTAGCTGAGGTAATATGTCGTAGATGAGTACAAATGGCTAGGAAACAATGACAATGTTATTTTGATTCTGAATGTTCCCTGGTATTTTTTCTTCTCTCAAATTACTAGGCTGAAAAAGAGAAAGGAAACAGAGATGAAGATCTTGCAAGCATTTGGCCACTTACGATGCTTAGAAGGTACTAAAACAAACCTTCTAACTACTGTAACATAATAATTTATTGGCCTGGCCTTTGCTAGCTGTTCCTAACCCTCACAGTCTCATAATATGACCTACAACTCGTATCGGTGTAATAGTGTAGGTACTTTAAACTAATATCAGGTACCTTTTTCAAAAATAAAAAATAAATAAGTGTCTCAGAGTTCAGTGAAACAGTTCCACTTTTGTTATATGGCAAGATTATGAGTTTTGAAATTCAATTTTCCACACAGAAGCTAATAATTCTGTGTTTTTGGGAGGTGTATTCACATTTTAATAGTTCATAAGCTTATCGTGCTCATTTCCTGACAGGACTGATTGCGAATTCTTTGTTAGCTTTAAGCCCTTTAAGCCCTTAGGTAGAATAATTACACCAATATCAATGTTCTATCACAATTTCCTGAGTTGCGTTATTTGATTTTTTCCAGATATATATACTACGTAAAAAGAAACTTCAAACCTGTCCTCTCAAAGGAGGCGGAAAAGGTCATTTCAAGCTATTACCAACTTCAAAGAAGATCAGCCACCCAAAATGCAGGTTTTCTCCTCAAACCTCTGGTGTAATTTAGCCTTTCCACGGTTTTTGCATCTAATTTTTACTCTGTATGGCAGCAAGGACCACTGTCCGCATGCTGGAGAGCTTAATACGTCTTGCTCAAGGTAGAGGAGCCTTTCATAAGATCAACTAATGCTCTTGCTTACTCTTTTTAATTGCAGCTGTTTACTTTTCTTTAACTGTCGCAGCACATGCAAGACTGATGTTCAGAGATGAGGTTACAAGATTAGATGCCATTACTGCAATTTTGTGCATCGAATCATCCATGACAACGTCAGACATAGTGGATAGTGCTGGAAATGCTTTGCATTCAAATTTTGCTGAAAATCCTGATGAGGAATGTATCCTTGTACTGATTCATCCAGCAATCGGCTAATGATTGATGGACGATTTGTCAGTGATCTTTTTCTGTGCTGTTTCTTCTTTCTGCTTAGTATATTGGATTCCTGACTAAATAAACAACAGATGCCAATCAAGAGAAACTGATCTTGGAGAAGCTGTGCATATTTGATGGCTTTACTTGAAAACTGACTGGGAAGCAGCATTTGGTTCAATGATGCCATCGACAGGGAAAACCTGCATAAAATCATCCTCCCATGTGCAGGCCAAAACGGGATTGTCAAATTATAGGCATTTAGGAGCTACGATCCAGATGTATGGATCCAAGATGAACTGAGACTTCCAAGCATTTTGTAGCTACAATCTGGATTTGAAAGCGGATATTCAGCCAGTTAACGGTAGCTCGTTCTTAGGTTCCATATTACGTATCATGTAATACAAGTACGGAATCGTTCATCATCCGGCACTTCATAGCCTTATAGTTTGAAATCATTGACAAGATTAGAGAGCTGTTATTGTCCAGCACTTGGACAGCAAAGGAATTTCGCTAGTTTCCTTTGATCTGGGTGAACATTCTGAAACCTTACTGTTTTATTGATTTATTAAGAATGACCGTCCTTTTTCTGTTCACCAATCTCCGCTCTTTAATACTAAATAAGACATTTTGATTTCTCTTAGATTTCACCTATTATGTATTTCTAATTGATAAAAGAACTTTAATAATATATTTTTATATTCGTTATGTTCTCTTGATTGTTAGAAAATATTTTTAAGATTTTTTTGTCAAATAAAAATGGGTATTATGTGGAATCTAGAACAAATCAAAATGTCTTATATTAAGGCCCGGAGACATAAGATTTTTTTGTCAAATAAAAATGGGTATCATGTGGAATGTAGAACAAATTAAAATGTCTTATATTAAGGCCCGGAGACAGAGAGTAGTATTCTTTTCTGAGCCCCTTCTGTTGTTCTTTTGCGTATTGATAGTGTTTCATTAGTATAGTTTCTTTCCGTCTCAAAATGGAATATTTTTATTAATACATGCAACGATACTGTTTTACTAATGAAACATTCCAAGTTCCTTGACACAAAAACTGGACATTTGCAATGTCTTGTCCACAGTTTGTAAAGGATCATTTTCATTTCTTTTCCCCTCATAACAACTTACAAGTACCCCTTCCAAAAAAAACAACTTACAAGTAGTCTAAATCAACTGCATTGACAAGAAGAAAAATGAGGAACAAAACTTAGTAGTAGATAACTGTCATAGAGATGATGATGAAATTTGCTGCAGAATCGTTAGCTTTCAATTCCCATTGAAAGTCAAAATTTTTCTTCCAAATTGTCACAGAAAGTAGAAGCAAGTTACATTGGTGTTCTGCAGAAGTTGCAAGAGAACCAAAATGCTATCCTGACCTTTTTTTTTCCCTGATCTTTCTAAATGCTTGCGTATGCTTCAGACAAAATGCATCGTACCACAAATATGTGAACCCGAGAAAACTCTACTTACACTAAGATTTAAAAAAATCAATATAGACCCAAGAATTTCCACCAGAAACCACCAACAACCGCCCAGATCAGCACATTCACCACAGCCATTATGAAGCCAAATTTGAAGACATCAGGAAGATCCACATAACCAGCTGTTGGATTTCAAAAAGGCAAAGAGTAAAAAATATTAGTCAGAGCAAGAACATACGCATGATGATATCAAACGAAAAAGCAGTTATTCTCCAAGTCATACAAGAAAAGCCTAAGATATAGAGTGGGCAAACTACCAAGAAATTGATCGATGCCAAGGAAACAAGAGAGAAGACAAAGTGGAATCTAATATCTAATAAGAATCTCTTCACAGAATTTTGAAAGAACTCATCATTTGACTCACCTCCAAAGTATACAGCAGCTTGACCACTGCTATAATGAGTCAAAGCACCAAATAAGTTTGTATTGTAGGCTAAAGCTAGTGCTGCCAGTACACCAGGCACCCCAGAAGCCAAATGCATAGCAAGAAACGCAGAATACAATGCTCCCACATGGCCAGTTTGACTAGCAAATAAGTAATGGATCAAAAAGTAAGCAGCCTGAAGCACACCAAATGCGGCAGGCCAGCTAAGTGATAGAGACTGCAGGACCTTTGCAACACAGCTTGACATCCAGCCAACTATACCAAGGTTTGTTAATTGACCCGCCATACCAACAAGTACTGCGAACCAAGCCAAAGTATCCCAGGCAGATTTTTCACTTAGACAGTCATCCCAATCAAGTACTCCCAACAACAGCAATATTGATAAACCCAGCATGGCAGCAACCACACTTGGAATACCAAGAGCATCCCTGAGAAAGCAACATGTATCAATCAGCTCCTCAAATTTCAAAGACTTACAGAAAGAAGAATTAGGCAGCAATAACTTTTGAATCTATTGCCTTAAAAGCTAGGCTTAGGATGTTATAACAAAGTACTAAGAGAATTCGTCAATCTAATCTATCGCCAACCATATGATGAAACAGCAACGCCAACACTTATGTCCAGAATGTTAACTAATCTTCTAGTCTTTCAAGTGCAAGCTCATATAATAAACTATTATCTAATGATTAATAACTACATGTAATCAACCTTATTAGTAGGAAGCATCACATTTAGAAACATCGGAGAGGGAGCAAATGTAGAAGGAACACCTACCCACAGACCCACAAGGACACAGCAAGAAGCATTGTTCCAACCATCACCCATTCATTCTTCGTGACAGGGCCCATTGCGTCCAGCTTCTTTGCTGCCATAGCAGGTGCCTCCGGTGTGTCCTTCATTTCAGGAGGATAAAGTGTGTACAAGACTAGAGGGGTAACTATAAGGCAAACCAATGCAGGTAAGCTAGCAGCCTTGAACCAAGAAACCCAAGGGTTTCCAATGACCACCCCAAGTTCTTCAGCCAACTTAAGACACAGAAGGTTTTGAGCTGCAGCAGTTAGGAAAAGAGCACTAGAGTTACCAGCAGACTGTCAAGCATCACAAAAGCAATGCATAAGTTACAGAATATTGATCATTCTGGAAAAAATTGCAAAACAAATTCAAGGTTATCGCACAAAAGTTGACAAAAAGCTCTAATTTTTTCAACGAAATCTAGTTCATATAACAAAGAAACAATCCTCATCCAGAATTGTAGCCTATCACCCTTATATTTCTAATACAAAACCCAAAATTAGAAGAAATGCACATGCTATGCACGGCCTAAGAAACTCTCTCTAGAATCCATCTAAAAGAAAAGCTCCCTTCAATTATCAAATCAACATTTCTTGGTTTCTAATTGTCCTCATTATGTTTCCGCAGGTTATGAAACATGCATAAGGAAAACATTTCTTAAAATTTTGGAATTACTAAAGAAATTCTACCGACAGCTAAAACTCGATCTCAAGTTGAAGGAAGAAAAAAAAAACGAACCTGGAATTGGGATTGAACTAAGTACGATCCTAGCTTCTTAGCAGAGGGATCGCCGGGCTTACTCCCTGCTGAAAGGGAGAGCGACTTAATAATCGGCAAAAACACGCCGCCGGCTCTGGCAGTAGTACTGGGCATCGCCGGAGCAATCAAAGCCTCACTGAACGTCAATCCATAAGACAACCCAAGCGTACTTTTCCCTAACCACTTCACAAAGTAAGTCGCAATCCGATCACCTAAACCCGTCTTCACGAACCCACGAGCGAAAAAGAAGGAAATAACAATCAACCAAATTACTTCATTTGTAAACGCACTAAAAGCAGTGGTAAAAGGCAGCGTCCGGGTGAAAATTGAGGTGGTCAATCCAAGAAACGCCCAGGCCCCAACCGGCAATGGGCTGAGGACAAGGCCGGCAATGGTTGAGAGAAAAATGGATAAAAGTTGCCACGCTTGAGGGGTAACCTCCGGCGGCCTGGGGACTAAAAACCGCACAATCAACCCAATAGATACTGAAATGATTAAAGGAATGATTTTGGCTCCCTGTGGAGTAACGACGGCGGGCTTTGATTCAGCGGACGAGGGCGTATTTGTATTTCCACTATCATCACCGGTGGCGTAAAGGGGAACCAATTTACCGGAAAGGGGTGGTTTTGCGATTAAGGGGGAGAATCTAAAGGGCTTGGGATTATGAAAAGAGGATAATTTAGGAGTGACGGTTGAGGGAGGTGTGAGGCTGAGAGCGGCGGCGGCGGAGGCGGAGGAGGAGAAGCGGGTACGGAGGTGGCGGGAGAAGGCGGCGGAGGTGGCGGTGGCCAAATATGGAGAGTGGAGGACAGAGCTCTCCATGATTTTGAAAGGGGAAATGGAGAGAAGAAGAAACAAAGGAAAGGGAAAGAAAAAGAAGATGAGTGTGTGAGTGTGTGTGTGTGTGTGGGCGCGCGTGCTGGCTGAGGTTTTTTTCAGCGGACGCTACGAAGTGAAACTCTGCTGCTAAACTGAACTCTAAACCAACAGAAACCCGGCCCACAGTGAAAGAGAGGAAGTGAAGAAACAGAGGACGTTTCGTTTTGTTCCTTCATTTTATTTTATTTTATGAAATTTTCTATTTCTTTCTTTTTTTTTTATTTATTTCAAATGATGATGATGATCCAACGAGAGGAGGAAAATGATTCGGAAATTCGTTTGGCGATATTTGCTAGTTTCTCTACTCACTAGTTATATTGATTGTTGCTTTAGTTTACTATATATTGCTGTCTTTTTCTTGTTGAACTATTCCATATATTGTTCTTTATTGTTGGGGCTTTGAGTTCAGTTTTATTTTTTCTTCACCACATCTTCTTCTTCTTCTTCTTTTGTGAAATTCTTTTTTTTTATAATGTGGTAGAGTAAGTTAGAGATCAAACGATTACCCTCTTTTGAGGTCAATTATTATGTCGGAATTAGGCCGTGTCTAGTCTTTTTGATGAGTTTTTTTTTTTTGATAAATACGTTACCTAAGAAAAGAAAATCCATAATCAGCATCAAAATTTGTTTTGAAATGCAAATGGTTAACGTGCAATGTGCAATCTCATAAATTTGCTTCAAGTTGCACATGCACTCTCCAAATTTAGGTTATGGTTCATTTCTAAAATTACCTTCTATACTTGTTTTACCTTTTTTTAATTATAATTGTTGAAGCACTCGATTTAAAAAGTTTCGTTCATTATCTTTTTTCTTTTTTTTTTATTTTGGACTCGACACATATTGATACTTGCGAAATAGAGTACATAGACTATCACGCGAGACCCTACCAACCCAAAGAAGAGAATAGTACTATTAACGGGGACTCTGCTCGAGTGCACATCTTGATCGGGTTGTGTGATCATCCATGGTCTCCATGTGTGGGTTACCTGCTTGTTTGACCAAACTACTTAGAGCAGCTACCCCCGCTTTCTTTATCAGTTGCCTTCTTACCATGTCCGCGAAAGAATACAATTCTCAATCTCTCGGTTTACGGTACTATTATTTTTTTTGGTTTTTGAAGACGAGCAAAAGCAAAAGCAAAAGCAAAAGGAACCAAAAAAAAAAAAGAAAAGGAAATGGACCGGACTTTGTTTTGATCTCTTTTGAGGTTATTGGTGTGGGTACAACTGAACCAACTTTACTTGGGTTCACCAGTGTGTTCAGTCCATGTAATTTGGGTTTCAACTTTGAAACCGAAGCCCATAATTATAGCCCATAGCAATTCTATTCATTTCCACTTCAAAAATAGGATGCCGAAGTCAGAACTCAGGAGTGTTCAGTAAATTCTGGCAGCTGCATGCCTTATTAAGTGATCTGATTTAGCACGTCACTATGGCTAATGGCTATGATGTGGATTGTAAAAATGGGAGGCTGGCTGGATGGCGTCCATTTCTTAAGCTTTCTAGATTTCGTTGCTATATTCAAAGGTCATATTACATACTAACTACATATGTTAAGAGCGGTAATGAATCAGCTGATTCCTAACGAAGTTAAGACTATCATATGCTATGAGGTTGCATGTTTTGTCAATACTCCCGAAACAAGCACTAGAGAAAATGGCCATCGATTGGCCCGACTCAACTCTCCCCCGATGAGTTGGTTCGTTTTGTACTAAGTTTTTGCTTCCTTAGTATTTTTTTTTTTTTAAAAAAAAAAAAACCCTACATATGTTAGGATGATTTCAAGGTCTATTTTTTGAGATTCCTGGCAAATCAACCTGAAGATGGATTTTGGATGTGCATTTTTGGGTATGCAGTATAATCTGGCTGGCGAGAAAACATGGCTAGGGAAGAGGAAAGTGTCTTATTTAATTTCTTGTTGGTACGTGAGATTGCATACAAACGTCCCTTCCTAATAATTAACACCATAACATCTTGAACTTTGGTTTTCTTGTTTTATTTCATTCTACTAGTATAACAAAACCAATACTATTTTCAACCTACAGGTCTACTAGACTAGTACAGAAAAGCTGGAGTAAGTTCTTCGACAAAGAACCATACAAATTAAAAGACCTTCAACCGGATTGGTTTGTAAAAAGGTGTTGAAATGGCCGGGTAATGAATGGCAATTCTGCTTGCTTCCGGCAGGCGATAGGGATGAAATGATGTTTTTAAGCTCAAAATACAGTTATTCTATTCACGGAACACAAATTTGAACCTACCAAGTGATCTGAGTATATTATAGATGTTCACTGTATTAGTACTTTTCAAATTCAACAAACTAAACCAATAAATCATAGGTTGTACGAGTAGATACGAATAAACCCACTCAACTCACAAGTTTGAGTTACATCATAGACACTTTAAAGTGTTTTTACTGCAGAAAATATTATGATAAGGTCGTCTCCTCCTCACTCTATATATAGAGGTGCCGATTCCCCGAAAAAAAATACAGTTGAAGTTCAGTTTGGCTAGCGAAGTAACGCCGAAGCAGATATGACGGTGAATGGAGCAAAATGCACTAGTTGCAGCAAGTAGAATCTGTCAAATCTTTGAACACGAGAAAAAGGCTTTTATATGAGTTTTCTTTAGAACTAGTATAGTTTTAGATCTTGTGTAATAGTCTTGGTGTCCAAAAAGTGTAGTACCTACCCCTTAAAAAAAAACAAATTAGAATAATATCTGATGGAGAGAGTACATATCTACATAAATTGGGAATAGATTAGGTATACATTAGGTTTGACAGAGATTTGAAATTCTATGTTTAGAAATTACTTTATCAATGTATGTTTTTAGATTTTTTTTATCGAAAATGTAAAAAAAGTGTTAAAATTCGGAAGAGATATACTGGGAATCTGAGATATGACTAATCTGAAATATGAGTAATAAAAATTATATATCCTACTATATTAGAAACAAAAACCTCCCTTCCAAACACTTCATATGATTGCCACGTGGCATATAGAAAGTACTAAATTGCCCTTTTGTCTAACTATAACAAAATTACTAAATCTCCCTTTGCACTTTATGTGACATGTTTTTTTTTTTTCTTTATGTTTCATTCAACTAGAATGGTTTTTTAAATTGAATTGATCAATTAGGTTTTTTGTTACAAAGTGTCAATTTTGTTTTAAGCGTATACCCTTCGGATGAAGCTTATTACAAAGCTATTAAAAATCTCCAAAACTAAGTATTGATTTGGCACGACCAATGGAGAACATCAATAAATCATCTTACTAATATTTAAATTTATTAGGATACTTTTATATTTTATCTAACATTTACTTCAATACATATATTCGATTAAGGCTATTTATATTTAATAAGTAACACTTATAAAATATTTCTAAAACATACATGGCGAAATACAATTTATTTTTTTTTTTGTGAAATACAAATATTTCTATGATCACACTTATAAAACATTTCTAAATCCTTCAAATATTTCTAAAATATATCGCTCCAAATACAAAATTTTATTTTTTTTCAATTATAAACATTTCTAAGATCTACAGATAGACTGGGCCAGGGTCGCGCATTGCGCGACCAGACATCACTAGTATATATATATAAGAAATAAAAACCAATGGAAAAAACAACCAAACAGAGATTCTCAACTTCTTCCCCACCGCATAGGATTCAAAAGAAACGGAGGAAAGACTCATCAAAAGGGATTTAGTCACCACTATTGTCGCGGATGTAACACCATCCAATTTGCACAAAAATTACAAATAACTTTTAAAAAAAAAAACGAAAGAAAGAAACGGCGAAAAAAGAGGGGGAAAAAAATGAAAGCAGCTGATGTATGATGTCAACGTTTATTTTCATAAGCAAGAGAAGGGTTAACACAATGTTATCTTTGTTTTTTTTTTTTCAGAAAATTATAGTATTTTAGACTTATTGTAAATTATGTCTCTTTTATCTATCTATGTATTAAAGAAAAGTTGACCATTGAACACGTGTCGCTCAATTAGGCCTTAATAGGTTCTGTTGGCATGTGTCGTTTTATAATTGGCTCATCATTAAACTATTGACATATGTTGTTTTATTATTGACTCATCATTAAATCATTAAATATGTTATATAAAATAGTTAATTCGTTTCACTTTTACTAACTAAAAAATTAATACGGATCAGGGTCGATGAAAAAGCGACCCAGGATCATCGCATAAAAGATTAGCCCAACAGATATTTTCCAAAATAATAGGCCCAAATATGAACTCTAATTCCGTTATAATATAAAGCCACTATTAATATGCATTAATATTGTTGTTTTGGTGATCAAGTTTAGAATCAGAATCTTCTTTGATACAAAAAATCAAATATCAAATTAACCAAATCAACGACCAAACATTGTGAGATATTTAATTCTTTCCTTTTTTTTCTTTTTACTTTTTTTTTTGTGATAGTATCACTTGCATGATTTGTTGAATGGAGGCCAGTCAATTGAAGTAATTTCATTAACCTTAATTCCGTAATTTCTTCTAATTGTTGTGTATAAATTGATTAATGTTTTTATGTTATGTATAAATAGATAACAATAACCTCAAAGCGGTCGAGGATATTAATGTCGCAATTAAATTCAGGATTGGGAAGGATAGTTGTTGAACTGTATCCGCATATGAGGAACGTTATGTGATTCTACACAATCAAATATGATCTCCGTCATAAATATGAAGAGCGACGGCCGACCTTGGAAACCCTAATACTCCGATGTGTATCAATCACCTGTATAAATACATCGATCCCAATGTAGTAATATTCTGGCACGCACTAAAAGCTCCATTGCCACTCATTTCTCATAGCCAAAAAACTCAATTTTGTTGCTCAATTAAATGGTTTCGTTCTGTTGCTCGGTTGAATGTTTCCACTAGATTGAGGAGGAACATGTTTGATTATGCCGCATATGGAACAAACCCGATGGAAGGGATAGATGGTTCAAAATATGGTTGTTAAGGCAGAGTGGAATCATTCTAAATTCCCATATCAAACCCTTGATAATTAATTTTTTCCCCATGTATTGTCTAAGAAGAATGGTTTCTCTATGATCATCAAAGTTTTTCTATCTAGCCCCTTTTAATTTTTGTTATTCAATTGTTCTTATTAAGGGTAAATCCCATTATTGGAATTTTCTTTTTCTTGCACTATTGTCCCTGGTCAGGTATCTGGGATGCTTGGAATTTGGAATCAATTAATTTTATGAAACAAGCGTTTTTCATCGTGAAAGGCTGTACTTGGA